ATGTCCAAAGGCTTTTGGTACTTCCTCCATGTCTCTTAAAAGAATTTGGGCTGGGTATTAAACAGTTTTTGTGTTGTTCATGTTGTCTGGATTTACAGATAAACATGACGTGACTTGTCTTGACTCACCAGTCAGTGTGGTAATAGTGTCTGGTTGCAGAAACAGGTGTAAACCGCCATTGTCCATTATGTAACATGAAAAACAGCATGATTAACAAACACTACCTTTTTCTTACACAATTTTTCTAAAAGGTTGTCATTTTCCAAGTCCCCTGTGTGTGATTGCAAAGTGGAGATCTTCACTAAACACAGGCCTGGGAACAAATGATCCGTATTCTTCGACTACAATACTATCTGATTAATGAACACCGAACACTCTCTTACTGGCAATTGTCTCACAAAGATTAACCGGTCCGGTTCCAAATGACAGACCTACTAATTATAATGTAGAACATTGAAGATAAAGGGTTTCGCACTCACACATTTGATCTTCCTCAACTTTTCTTTGCATTCTGTTTTCTGATTATTTCTATGACTGTGTCACCTCTCATTGTTTGGCAGCAGCCTCCTGCAGTCAGTTAGTCAGCGAGCTCGTCTGCTGTGTAATTTTCAGGTGTGCATGACTCACTGTGCATGGAGCAGATTAATGGCCACACAGCGCCCATACTGGCACACCTGTGGAGCTCCACAACAACCTGTAGCTGCCAGAAACACAACAGCGAGCGTTAGCAGAGGTTTAAATAGTTTTAGATGACCATAGTAACAGTGATGACATTCTGAAGACATTGTTCCTGAATTTATCAATGTATTCCTCATCAACATTTTAGGTTATACCCTATTTTCTTTTGATCAATTCTGTTGTTTCTTATGATTGTATTAAAGGGCCCATGTCATGGCCATTTCCACTGATCATAATTCCATTCTTGAGGTCTACTAGAATAGATTTATATTGTGCAATTTTCCAAACTCACATTGGTTTCTCATTCAGCATCTCTGTAAACTACGTTTATTCACTGAATTTCACTCTCTGCCTTTAACGGCTCGTTGTAGCTCCAATAGCTCCAGCCCCCACCCTCCCTGTGAGCACAGTGTGCTCTGATTGGTCGGGACGTTGTGAATCGCGCTGAGCTCCGTGGAGGTGTTGTTTCCTTGTTAGCGATACACAGCGAAACACAGCCAAACTCATCCTGAGCACACACAAACTCACAGCCGAAGTAAAAACAATAAGTGTGGCTTGATATTGAGTAAGAAAAAGGTTGATAAACGCTGTGAGAATGGGTCTGCAGAGAGAATTTCGCCGCGATCCCAACTGTCTGTTATCAGCCTGCAGCCAGGGAGGAGAAATCAGCTGAGCTGCCTGCTCCCTGCACATAGAGTGTGTGTGTGTGTGAGGAAGTCCGTGGATTGGTCAATTTGGACCAATCAGCGGGGGCTTAACGTAACGGCTCCACGGATTGGTCCATTTCGTTCCGGGTACGGCTTGACATCATGCCGTACCCGGAACGAAATGGAAGAATCAAATGGACAATGACGTATCTCCAACGAGGCATTTGGGGAGGTATTTCCTGTGTTAGAGTTTTACTCGCTACATGGTGTACTTTGAGGGTTTTGACTCTGCACACCGTTTACATGCATAAAAACCTTCATAACACACAAGGGGACGGGTAATAACCGGAAAAGCATGACATGGGCCCTTTAAGGAAAATGATATGAAGGCTCCCAGAAAAGAAAAATTGAGAGGTTGTTCAGTTGGTACACTTCAATTAATAAATTTTTAATTAGCTTCTAGCAAAGCCTGTCTCTTAGCCATTATTGCACAGCAGGTCAGTTTAAGAGTAAAGAGGCGAACAAACAATTTACACTCATAATAATAATTTAATTGGTAACGAATTATATTAACTGAGGTACAATTGGAGTAGTAAGATGCTGCCTGGAAATGACGTTGTTCTTTTTCCATTGAAATACTGCTCGCAGAAGGCTTCACAGAAAATACTGTAAAGCTGCCACATTTAAATATATTAAAGGATATGTTCACATCGGATCAAGTATGTCTTAACAATGCAATGGAGGACTTTGTTTCTCCTGCAAATAGGGACTCGTGTCATATCTGCTGTTGTGCAACATTTGTATTTCTTCAGAGCATCTTGTATTAATAAAACTATGTAAGCGTCACCCACATGTTGTCTTTTTAGCACAATATCCATATGAAGAGAACTGCCTATGAACTATGTCTCCAATGAATTACAAGATCTAAGAATTACAACACTAAATGTTTTTTTGTTAATGTCGTACTTAAGCCACTTTTATCTGTAAGATGGAAAGTCCCCGTTGACTGAGTTAGAAGAACCTCTGCAGCACGTTGAGCAGAGATGCTACATATTTACCTCAGGAATCGACCTCATTTAGACACTGCTAAAGGTTACTGAGTATCTGTCAGTGTAATTGGTCCTTTGCGACTGCAGAGAGGAATGCTGCTCCACGTTCATTTGTTTCAATTCCCTGTCTCCCTACAAAACTTACAGTATAATCCTATTGCTTTCTTTCTTTCTGTTTTCCTCATCGGTTCAAAACTCTCATTAGAGAGCACTAACCGATCCTCAGGAGAGAATCAGAGAGGCAGCTGCAGGCAGGTAGTTATTCAGGACTACACACTTTTTATTTGGGAGTTAGTTTTCAAAGGGGTCATTGAATTTGAGTGCATTGCAGTGTTGCTATCCTACCCTTATTTTACTTTTCTTCAGGTCTGAATAGATATTTCTGAATTCATCTTAAGTTTTGCAGTCTCATTTTAAGGGGGTACAAATGACTTTGTGGTAATTAGTTGATTTTAGTCCAATCGAGCAAGCTTTAAAAAGAGTGGGGACTTAACAAGTCTTCATTGATTTGTAATGTTTTTTGATTTGCTCTGAAGTAAAAGGGTTTGACAAGCTTTCTTTGGTGGCATTGAAGAAATCCTCTCTAAAGAGTCTCATCTAAATGAATGCCCTTTCAGTTGCACAATACCAAAATCTCTTTTATAAAGTGAATTGAAAGTGTTTAACATTTCTTCACACACTATAATTGTGTGTCTGTTTTTTTAATACACCAGCTCTCAAGGTTGTTTGAGGCTTCAAGATAAATTGACATTGTGTTTCCTGTCTAGTCTTTAGCAGTGTGTGTGTGTGTGTGTGTGTGTGTGTGTGTGTGTGTGTGTGTGTGTGTGTGTGTGTGTGTGTGTGTGTGTGTGTTGTGTGTGTGTGTGTGTGTGTGTGTGTGTGTGTGTGTGTGTGTGTGTGTGTGTGTGTGTGTGTGTGTGTGTGTGTGTGTGTGTGTGTGTGTGTGTGTGTGTGTGTGTGTGTGTGTGTGTGGTGTGTGTGTGTGTGTGTGTGTGTGTGTGTGTGTGTGTGTGTGTGTGTGTGTGTGTGTGTGTGTGTGTGTGTGTGTGTGTGTGTGTGTGTGTGTTTCTACTTATTAGTCTTCAAAGGTTTGTGCTCAGTATTTAAAGCCGAACTAAAGACTAGGATGTTGTGCTGCTCAAACAGACCTTAAACACAGTTAGATTGGAGGAGATACTGTAGAGTACTGCACAAAGATGCAGATGGTGCAACAACATACCTCAGATTTGGTTCCAAGGTAATAAAAAAAGGTTGTGGCTTTGATCGATTCCTTTCGTTTTTTATTGGAGATTCAAAGTCTTCAAATCCTTAATTTGAAAATCTCGATACTAATGTGTTGAGAAACTGTTCACAGGGGGGTCTGTAGGAAGGGAAGGAATCAATCGTCCTGTTTTCTCTCTCTCTCACACTCACAGAAATATGTACTGTACAAGTCCTTATCTCCATGGTGATACAAAATGGTCTGGCACAGAGAAGTAGTTCGCTGTTATGTACAAATGAGTAGAAAAAAACACTCAAGCATACTGAAGTTTTTTTCTCAGCTATTACAATAATGGCTCAGGAAGGAAAAATCTGTCCAATATTTTTCTTTTACAGTTGGTTGAGATGTTGTTGTTGTACATATGGTTCTACATTACATTAATCTCCTGAACACCTTTCTACCATGTGTGGGCTGTGCAATGTATTTAACAGCTAGGTCATGTGTGACATGGATCCTTTGATGTTAGGAAGTGAAATCCAGACAAGAAAAAAACACAGATCCCTCGGGGGAAGGCAGCGAGAATTAAATCCTGAAGCATCTGTACGTACGTACAAGGTCTTTTAAAATGATGGACCAATACTCCACCAGAATAAATTATTGTTAAAAAAGTTAAAGGGGACCTATCATGCAAAATGCACTTTTTGATGTCTTTTATACATAAATATGTGTCCCCGGTGTGTCAGGGAACTCACGCAGCGTCAGAAAATAATAACCCTCTCTCTTTTCCTCCGTACCCAAATCTCTAAAAACGGGGCTACAACGGAGCTCATCCAGATTTGCGTCCGATGACGTAATATCTGAAATGTAGGCTGGCTTTACACCCACGGCCCTATCAGAAAGTTGTGATCAGAAACAATGCCCGACTGTTTTGGACGTAATATGGTCGGTGTTTGTTTACATTAGCATCGCTAACACTCAGAGCTAACCTGTACTGGAGAGCATGTGTGTGAAGAAGCAGGAAATAAAAAGGAACTCACCTTGTGGTATAACCGGCAAAAGAGAAAGCCTTTGAGCTCCATACTGTTTCAGAAATAATCCTTGATAATCCATGATATGGCGTTTCATCACGGCAGTATTTAGTTTAGACTACCTCTTAAGCTTTATACCCCAAATCAGCACTTTTGAAACAGGAAGTGAAATAGAGGGATATGAGGCATGGCTAGAATGGGTGATCTGTTTGGTATTTTGAGCAAAACACTTCATAGACATGTTTTTTATATCTTTTTATATATCTGAGACCTATGCTATTGCCTAAAAATAGCATGATAGGTGACCTTTAATGAAAGATCTGATATTATCTAGCATGTGATGTTCTCTTTCATATCTTACTTACTCTTACCTATCCCTTTTCTTTGTTTTTCTCAGTTCCTTAGTTGGTCCCATCCAGACTGAATGGAGTTCTCTTCTTACATGGTTGCAATGCAGACTACTTTTTAGAGACTTCAGCTGTAAAAAGCTTACCATTAACACACTTCTGTTCATCAAGCCCCATCAAGGTAAGCATATTCCGTCATTTTTTATTGAAAAGAATGCAAACTAAATGTCTTGAGCTGAGTGTGTTCATGAGAGTAACCGGTTGCCGCAGCTAAACTTGGAGCTGTCGCAGTAGCAAATATTATTTGATGTAGGTAGATTATTGATGCCAATGTTTAATGTTCAATGTTAAAAGCCAGACATTTTCTCAACATCACTTAAGCTGTACATTTTTATTTATTTTTTAAAAATATTTTCCATTACTGGTATTTTCATTGATCCAAAAGCTCTTTATTGACCTTTGATTTTTTTTAAACTCAACCAATTCATGTTTTTTTTTCTGCAGCACCAAATGTTTCCCTGAGAGTCTCTCGTCACTTCACTGAGTGGGCATAATGTTGACCCTGATCTAAACCCATCAGCAGCCCATCCCTACCTCCCCCCCCCCACTCCCTTTCCCACCTCCACCATGACCAGTCTGAAGCGTTCTCAGACAGAGCGCTCGGTCGGGGGCTCAGTGCCAGCGTCTGATGAGTTCTACACCCGCCGCCTGAGACTGCCCAATGGAGGGGCCCCGCCCCCCCGCAGTGAGAGCGCCCACATCTCCTCTTCCTCCACTACCGGCACCAACCCTGCCGTACCGAAAATGGGGGTTCGGGCTCGTGTGGCTGATTGGCCGCCACGAAAAGACGGGGGAGGAGGCGGTATTTGGCACATAACGGTGGAAACAGACTCACCCAGCTCCACCAACACCACAAGCTCTTCAGGATCAGGAAGTGGAGATAGAGAAAGACTTGTAGGAGGAGGAGGGGGAGGAGGAGAAAGTGGTGGTGGTGGGGGAGGAGGAGGAGGAGGAGGAGGAGGAAGAGGAAGTAGTGGGAGCGGTAGTGGTAGTGGTAGTGGTGGCAGTGGCAGTGGTAGTGGAGAAAGAGGGGGATCTGCAGTAACAGCCCACAGCCATCTGTCGGCCAAGCTGGGCCACCTGATAAGCCCGCAGGACTCATCCATGCTGCGCAACATCCACAACACCCTGAAGAACAAGATGCACAGCAAGGGGAAGGACAACCGCTTCCTGTCACCGGATGGATACCTGGGGTCTCCTCGCAAAGGCATGAGGCGCATCCGTCAGCGCAGTAACAGCGACATCACCATCAGCGAGCTGGATGTGGACGGCAACGAGGGCTGGTCCTTCTCCGGGTGGACCCCCATGCACCGAGAGTATGGCAGCACTTCGTCTATAGATAAACATGGGGTGTCAGGGGAGAGCTTCTTTGACATGCTAAAGGGATACCAGTCCTTCGAGGCCCCTGATCAGAGAAGCCCAGCCCCAGAGAAGCTATCGGAGCTGCTTACCGTGGCCCCAACGAAACAGGCGGTCCTGGACCTGCCTGATGGTGCTTTAGGTTCAGCAAGAGGCAGTCCTGCCAGTCGGCTGAAGGAGCGAGAGAAGCACTTAAAGAGGAGGTCAAAGTCGGAGACAGGTGGAGAATCAATATTCCGTAAACTGCGCAGCGTGAAGGTGGAGGGGGACTCATCTCGGGCTGGATCAGATGCTGAAGATGGGGGCAAAGCAGATGAGAGCAGCCCACCTCCCAAACCTTGGGCGTGCCAAAAAGGCTTTGCCCATTTTGATATCCAGTCTTTACTTTTTGACCTCAATGAGGCAATCCACAGCAGGCAGTCTGGGTCCAAACGTAAGAACACTACTACCGGTGCCTCGGCTGCTGCTGCTGCCTCCGCTTCAGCCACATCCTCCCTCTCGTCCAATCAGAGCGCAATATATGGTTCACCATGTGGCTCACAAGAGGAGCTGAGCAAGGAGGGGACCGGAGGACACGGCACCAACCCTGCCTTGGACCCCGGGGACGACAAGACCAATGACCTGGTGCTCAGCTGCCCTTGTTTCAGGAATGAGATTGGTGGAGAGGGAGAGAGGAACATCTCTTCTGCTAAACAGGTAGGTTTTATGCCAGAACAGATAATTAGACTTCAATTAAGAAAAATAACCCATATTTTTTCTCAAAATATATCAAGGTTCTCCAATCTTAAACGTAACACAGCAGTTTGAAATATTAAAGGTCACCTATTATGAAAAAAAAACCCACTTTTTCCCCTCTGTGTAAAGAGATTCTGAAAGTTTCAGGAAAAAAGATTCGCTCACTCTGAAAATGAGCTGATCAGATTTTGGCCACTTTATGATGTCATAACGATGTTTTGGCTTGTGTAACCATTAGCCAATCACCAACCAAGGTAACCCCCCCCCCACCTTATCGCCTGAATCTCCTCCTAGAGCACCATTGTGTTCTTTGTAACCAAATATCTCTCAGAGGGGCGTGGGGAGTGGCTCCTTATTTTCATCTAAAGTAACAGACAGAGAATCAGCACTTTTGAAACAGGGCTGAAACAGAGGGGATTATGGGATGCTGCAATGATCTGTTTGGTGTTTGGAGCCAAACACTTCAGAGACATGTTTTGTATATATCTGAGACCTATAATATATTGATGAAAAACAGCATAATAGGGGACCTTTAATTCATGAACCTTCTGGCTACTATAAACCAAAATAAAAAATCACCCTAAAGATTAAATGTAAACAAAGTGTTACACAATGGCTATGCTTTACCTTTCCTGGTCTTCCGTCCCCCAGCCGGGCAGCATAGGTAGTGGTGAGACCTCGAGCAGTTCTTCAGGCAGTACAGAGGAAGGACCCTTGGATGCCACCCTAACTACTCATTTTACCAACGCTGGTGTGGCTGTGTTGGAGGCTGGCAAGGACGGGCCAGGCCAACATGCTGACAGGTCCAAACGTTACATCGTGGAACATGTTGACCTCGGCACCTATTACTACCGGAAGTTCTTCTACCTCAGAGGTGAGCGTAAAGGGGATAGTTAGGGCTTTTCTAAATTCATAGTTCTTGATTTAGTTCTGGTCTGGAAGCTGCCTTTCTTAAATGCTGTTGACTGTATGATGTATATTTCTTAACAGTTGATAAAAGAAGCTCATTGGCAGAGAAAATGCCAACTTCTGCTACCAGCCAAGATTCAACCTTAGACGGCACAATATTCAGTATTCATGCAAATGCAGCATCCTGTATTTCGCTAGGAGTAAGAAAAAAGCTGGCAATCAGTGGAGGATCATTAGTAAAGTTATTCTTTTAATGCTTTGGTATTTTTGTTTCTGGTTTTCCCTCCTTCCTACCAATAGAATTGACCTTTAAAATATGCACGGTAACAAAATCGTCGTCTAATTTCACAAGTTCTCTGTATTTTCTTCTTCTCTTTCACACAATCCCTTTCTCTCCATCCATTACTCAAATCCCTTTGCTTCTCTCCACCAGAACACTGGAACTATCTGGGGGTGGATGAGAACCTGGGCCCGGTCGCAGTGAGTCTGAGGAGGGAGAAGTTGGACGAACACAAGGACCACGGCCAGCAATACAACTACAGGGTCATCTTCAGAATGAGTGAGGTACATTGAAAAAGGCCAAATGATTTACACTCTTTTATACTCTGTGTTTTTTTGCTTGATTGTTTTTTAATTGATCTTCCCATTCATCAGGATACAATCTATTTGTAGCTGTTCCCTCCGGAGCTATGAATGTTCATGTTCACAAACGTGTCAATATTCAGTACACTCTGTACTGAGGGATGCTACTGAGAAGCGCTATGATTTCAAAGTGTGTAGGAGTAATAAATGATTGAAAAACCCAGTCAGAGTGTGACATTATAAAAGCATCGGCTCAAGGTTGTCGGATATGGCTCAAGACCTTAGATGCCTCCGCCTCCATTCCTTAACACCACCTCAAATAATAGCATGTTTTATCCTATTTATAACACATATTCTCAATTCTTTATGCTCAAACTGCAGTGATTGGAGCTTGTGTATAAATCCCTCTTCAGCTTTACTGCCTTCCCCTCCTATAGAGACTAGAGCCACAGATCCATGTCCTCATTCTCTCAGCTGAACACCCACCTACCATCTTTGTCAGCCTTCATCTGTGAAGGACTGAGCCGTGCCATTTCACAGCTAAACGAGACTAAAATAGTGCCACAGAGATTGGAGTAGAGAGGGGAAAGCATTGCTCTCGTACTGAAGAGCACCATGAGTAATAGCCCTTCCGATCTCTTGGGATGACGCACGACCTACTGTGCTGTGTTCTCCTCTCTTTTTCTTCCCTTCTCCTGACTCCCTCTATGCTCTCTAATTGCTATTTTCAGAATGGGGAGGTGGGCAGGTAAAGACATATGTGTGTGGGAGTGAGTGGGATGCACTGAGATAAGTCCAGTGTCCACAGAGGACAGCTGTTGTCCTCTCCTCAGTAAGAGTACTTCTCTCCAGTGTGTTTAAACCTGAGGCTGTTGGCACTGACCTTGAGCCTGCTGAAGACACACAACACATAAGTGATTCTTAAGAGCCATGGGACCACTAAGGATATCCAACTGTGTTTATTTGTTCATGATGGATTTTCAGGTCCTGGTCCTTCTGCAGTCCTCTTGATTTATTCATGGTTGTCCTCTTCCAGTTTGTTTTAGCCTCGAGCCTAAGAGTGCTTATAGTTGAAACAGTAGCAGCAAAAAACCCTACAAGCATTATTATGTGTGTGCTTGCTTAGACAGTTCCCCACACTTTGTTTTCCCTGTACAAGCAGAAAACATGTTCAACTTTTAGCCTGGATTTTGAAATAAAAAAAATATTGATTTCATGAGTTATCTTAAGCCCATGATGCATTCTTTTTAAATAGCCCTCTTCTGCTGTGAATTGTATTTAACTGCAGATTCCTTTAGGTCTTATCACAGGCTTACTTTTAGCTTTCCCAAACGTAGACTAACAAATTAGTGTTCTTCGAATGGCTGGAAAGATATTTAGCAGAAAGAAACCAAACCAGACAAACATTTTGAGAACAAACACAATAATTATCTAAGCTACAAACTTCAACTTAGCTAGGCTAAATCTGAATCTGTTATTATCTGTAGCACTGCAGTGTAATGTGCTCTTAAGATACAGTAGAGTCCCACTGTAGAGTTTTAAAATGTATTCAGTAGTTGTGACAAAACTTACCAAGAAAAATCATGTCGTTTTTTATACTGTACTGGATTAAGAAAAGGAATAACCTTGTCATTAGTGTATTTTGGATCCAACCTGCTGTCATATCTCCAACAGCAAATTATTTAGTAGTACAGTTTGTAGTATCAGTGGGTTTTCACTGTGAAGCTTTTTGACTGATTTTGCTAATTGACGATGCGGCCACATAACTGCCATAAAGAAAACCACAGACCAAGATAATGGAGGTCACCAAAAAACATTCAAGCTCTAGAGGAATCAGAATTAAGAAAGAATTTATTCAAACTCAATAATCTGATGTTTCCTATTTTCTTGTTCTCTCTCCCTCCCTTGCCATCTCCAGCTGAATACCCTGAGGGGCTCCATCCTGGAAGATGCAGTACCCTCCACGTCCAAACACGGTCTGGGCCGGGGTCTGCCCCTCAAAGAGGTGCTGGAGTACCTGGTGCCCGAGCTCAACGTCCACTGCCTGCGCCTCGCTCTCAACACGCCCAAGGTCACGGAGCAGCTGATGAAGCTGGACGAGCAGGGGGTAAGGACGCGAGTGAGAACAATTATGATTTACTGGCTGATTAATTCTTTTGATTGCTGATATATATTTTTGTATTACTGCTTTCTATTTAGTATTAGTCAGACTTCTTGTTGTCAGTCCTCAAAATGTTATCCATTCAGCATATTTGATAATTCTATGAACTAAAGATCTTTCCTTTTGGTTTTTTTATTAATCATTTTATGTGTAGGTGTTATTTGTCCTAAAAGTGGATGTTTCACTGTGAGGCAGAATTATTTATTTTCAATATTCTTTTTATACTTATGCTTAATTTATCCATTCACTCCCACAGACTACTTGGGATTTAAGTGGAGATACTACCTCCCTTATTTGTCTACACCCACACACAAACTCACACGCAACTTGACCATAAAAAGGTGAAAAATGCCAAACATCTTTTAATACTCATGCTCCCTGATGCAATCATCAAAAGCTGAACCTCTGAAAATGTCAACATCATTTCTCTGGTAAATGGCACCGCGATCACCGCATGACAACCCAAGGTGCTGATTCTTAAAATGCCAACATGAGTTCTCCCTTAAATGTCAACATGGTGACTCTGACATGATTTCTGCACAGTAACACACAAGTTTCCCCTTCTCATTGCAACAATCTCTCCATAGTTGAGTTTCCAGCGGAAAGTGGGGCTGATGTACTGCATGGCCGGCCAGAGCAGCGAGGAGGAAATGTACAACAATGAGTCAGCTGGTCCTGCGCTGGAGGAGTTCCTTCATCTGCTGGGGGAGAGGGTCCGGCTCAAAGGCTTCAGCAAGTACCGGGCCCAGCTGGACGCCAAGAGTACGTACATGCACAGAAATAGAGACTTAAAGGTCCCCTATTATACTGTTTTTCATCAATATCTTATAGGTCACAGATATATACAAACATGTCTCTGAAGTGTTTGGCTCCAAACACCAAACTGATCATTGCAGCATCCCATAATCCCCTCTGTTTCAGCCCTGTTTCAAAAGTGCTGATTAATTAGTCTGTTACTTTAGATGAAAATAAGGAGCCCCTCCCCACGCCCCTCTGAGAGATATTTGGTTAAAAAGAACAAAAACAGAATGGTGCTCAAAGAAGAGATTCGGGTGATAAGGTGGGGGGAGGGGGTTACCTTGGTTGGTGATTGGCTAATGGTTACACAAGCCAAAAAATCGTTATGACATCACAAAGTGGCCAAAATCTGATCAGCTCATTTTCAGGTTTTTATATAAATGGATCAGGACAAAAAGAGAGAGAATCTTTGTTCCTGAAACTTTCAGAATCTCTTTACACAGAGGGGACACATGTTGATGTAGAAAAGACATGAACAAGTGGATTTTGCATAATAGGTGACCTAATAGGTGACCTCTCCGATGAGGTCTGATTTGAGGGAAGATGGAGAGGTTTTACCCGTTTGCTCAGAGCTGAAACAAACCTCTTTTATTGTGGTGAAGTAACCGCTGTGGGTAAACCAGCTAAGTGTGCACACAGAAAATATTCACTTCACAGACTACAGTACTACTTGAACATGCCCTCTAAAATAATCTAAAACCACTTTACACAGAAGAAGGAGGCTGTGTAATGTGGGGAGTAAAATAAAGCACTAAACTGTAATGAAATATATTAGGATAGTTTCACTACATTGGCATTGGTTTTGGCAGACATTTGAAGTTCTTAAAATGTTCAAGTGGATTGAAGTGCTGCACAAATCTTCCCATTTATTTTCCTTTGCAGTGTTTATGAATTAAAAAAAAAACTTTTGAAACTTCTGCTTTTCTTTTCTTCCCCTGAGTTTAAAGGTGCATTCACACCTAATAGTCCGCTTCTCTGGTGCGCACCAGACGACAGTTTGTTACATTGTTTCATTTTTCAGAAGGTTCGGTTTGCGTTCACACGGGCAAAAATCAAACGGACTATAAACTTTAAACACAAGTCATGTGCTCGGAAATGCTGTTCAACAATTGGTCAGACATTAAGGGGGTAAAAACGCAAATCCCGGCAATTTCCACCGGAGCCTCCGCCATGGAGCATCGGCAGGTTATTTTCATGCTGTTGTTAATCTGGAGAGCAGATCAACAGCAACGGCGCATATGATTATATAATCAGACAACGTGCGATACAAAACATTGTAACACATATAATGAGAGACGTTCTGCAGTAAGGATGGGGTTTCACCGACAGCAGGTGGCTCTGACTTTTATGTATAGTTTTTAGTTTGATAGTTGTTTTTACTTTACACGACACTGTCCAACACTTCATTCTGCTTCACTCTTTTTGAAGACACCCCGCGTTCTTGTGACACGTAAATACTACGCATCCTATGATTTGGTGCGGACTGCGTTCACACCAGCAATGAACCGCTCCAGAGTTCACTAGCAAGCGGTCCGAGACCACCTATTTTAGCGGACCAGAGTCCGGTTGTTTAGTTCACTTAAGAGGTCTCGGACTGTGTTCACACCGACCCAAACGAACCGCACCAAGCGGCTAAACGCACCAGGGTTCGATTCAACCGGACTATAAAAGGCTGGTGTGAATGCGCCCAAGACTGCTTTAATTCCTTTTTCTTTCTTTCCCTGATTCTTCTGCTGTTTATGCATTTACTGAAAACAAACCTTACTTTAAAGGGGCCCTTTAATGCTAATTTCCAGGTTTATATTTTCATGTTGTCATATTTAACTCTGTACTATTCCTATAACAATACAAGTAATGCTCTTTGTGACAGACACTCCCTTTCACTTTTTCAGGGGATGTACTAACACCCTCAGTACCCTCTAGTTAATTAAATACAGCTATGCTACACACTCCTATTAGAAGGAGTGTGTTAATTCAGGTAATTTAGCAAGGTTTTAAACACCTTGTGACTGTTCTGTTCTCTGAGTAGAGCCCATCAATAGACTGGTGGTGGTTATTAACATGCAGGGGCTCTCTTTAGGGCCAGAGGCTGTTCAGAGCTCAGGGAACACATCCTATCAGCATTCACAGGAAGGCTGGACAACATACAGATGATGCTTTAATACACACCTTTATAGTATGGAAACAAGAAGTTAGAATTATACCATACATACACTATACAATTATACTTAGTGAAGATGTTATAGTCAATTATTTTGAATACTTTTGACATTGTTAAGCTATTAAAATGTTTTGCACTAAAACAATTCTGTTTTAATGCTCTCGGGCATTATCTGTTGTGAGGATGTAGCCATGTGGAATTTCAAAGTCAAAAACTTGATTATCTTAAGTGAGGACCCACCACCATTATGATACATCTTATAATTATCCCTATGTGTGGTATTAGAGTGGAAGAATGATTGGTTTTTGAATGTTCCACTAAAACAAAAAAAGTAATACAATTTAGGAGAGTGGAATATGATCACGGTGAAGTGGTATTTCTTTTATATTCACATGGGGTTTTGGACATTTGCCAATTACATTCCTGGGGTTTGGCTCCAGAAACCATCCCACCTTGGGTCAATCCAGGTTATAATAACTGTGTAAATGAGAATTGACACGTAGTTGTTTCCCCTCAGCTGACTCGACGGGCACCCACTCCATGTACACCACCTACAAGGACTATGAGATCATGTTCCATGTGTCCACCATGCTGCCCTACACACCCAACAATAAGCAACAGGTAGGTTCACGAAAAAGCATTTTTAACTTTGACTATGCCATTGAAATAATAATAGTGCGGTTTCACTTATCCTATAATAATAATAAGATAAGATAATGCCAGCAATGTCTATGTTCACAGTGCACTGTACATATCAAATGGACTGTGGTTCAAAAGTCTTGCATAGTTTTTTCTGTATTTTCCAGGTATCTTATTTAGTATAACTTAATATCTAATCTGGTTTCTCCTGCCTTCTTTGTGCTTTTCCAGTTACTACGAAAGCGGCATATTGGGAACGATATTGTTACAATCGTGTTCCAGGAACCTGGCGCGCTCCCCTTCACCCCCAAAAACATTCGCTCACACTTCCAGCACGTCTTTGTGGTTGTGCGAGCTCACAACCCATGTTCCGAAAACAGCTCCTACAGGTGAGATATACTCATATACTGTATGTGTATATACCGTATTTATGAGTGTTGAATTTTGTGGTTGTTTGGTCCCAAACATCGATGCTATATCCAGCTGTTACAAAGTGAGTTTTCATCCCTTGGTTTCTCGCCTTCAGTATTGGGGATATCTGCTGTCTTTTATAACATTATTTATAAAAAAAGCCAATGCTTAATCCACCCGAATGACGAGAGAGAATGCGTGTAGGTGACTGAGAAAAGGAATTAGGAAATACCCATTATCCAACCAATTATTCAGATTGTTTCAAATCAATTAAAGCTGAATTAAGTGGTTCATGCTGATTTTCTATGAAGTGGTAAAATGGAATAAGGTACAGTAGGCTATTTAGGGAATTGTTTAATGGACTTTATAATAAGCAGCAGAGTTGAAAAAAAAGTTGACTTGTACAATTGTTCAAAACATTTAAAACATAGTTTGATAAAGTCTTCCTAATTTTTTATTATTTATTTATTTATTTATTTAACAGGCATTTGTTTTCTAATGCTTCCTCTAGGGCTGTTACGTTATACAGGTGATTATAAATAATGACCTTTGATGTTTTGAAAAATGCAGTATTTATAAAATCCTAATGTATCCTAAACATTTTGTGTAATCCACTGCCTCTTAAATCATTTCAGTTTCTTTCTTTTTGTGAGTTTTGTTACTCTCCGTCTACTTCCCTATTTCCTTTTAGAGCTATTGCAATTGTTTTAATAATTCAATCTTTTTTTGTTTTGCTCACGGCAACCCTTCAGTAATATGACAGCTCTCTTGTTATCTTAGTGTTATTGAAGCCAGGTTAAAATATGCAGAGTCTTCTTTGGTCTTTGTTATGCAGATTACTTTTCTTCATGAGTCCCTTTCTATCACTGCTGAGCGAATAATGCTGTTGCTTCGAATGATTGCCGTTCCATTACTCCATCAGTGATTAGGCTGAGAGAGTTGAGAGTCCTCCGTGTAGCTCACTGATGTATTACCACGTTGTCAGAGATGTGCAATATGAAATGCAATGTGCTAGCCCTGACTCATTTTTAAGAAATAATGGACTTTCTGCCTGTTCGGCTCTGAATTTCATTCTGTGTACTCCTAACTGTCTTGTTATCTCCTTTTCTGTCATTCTCTCTTATCTTGCTGTCTACGACTCTCCCTCCCTCGCTCACTAATGACTGTTTTAATTGCTGTCTGGGCACATTGTGTGAGGTCTTAATTGTCCCCCATGGGGCTACTTCGTTACTGAGTAACAACACACACGTGCTAAAAAAAGAGCCCAGCAATAGAGCAAATACGGTACACGTTGTAATGTTTTCTGAGGTGAATACTAATTTCTTGCAAATGTAGAGGTGAAACATCAGGTGTACAGAAATTCATATAAGTCATTTATTCTTCATTGTTGATCTTCTGCCCTCTAATGCAGCACCTAAACTCCTTTTTTTTCAATTCAAATTCAAGATCCAAAGGTTTTATTGTCATATGCACAAAGTTACAGTTTAGAAATGGCAATGAAATTCTTCTGACCTGAGCTCCTCCAACAATGCAACATATATAATCAAATACAAAATTCAAAGTAAAAAGAATTGCAAAAAGTCTATATTTTTCAAACCATAAATGATAATAAGACATTTTTATGTCATTACATTTTCATAAATCTATTTGTTTAAAAACATTTACAGGAAAATGTTTTTTTCTGCGGTGACAGTGGAGGCCAAGAAAACCACTGCAGCGATTGTACCTATCCATGAAATAATGAACAATGCAATTTAATGAAATAATGAACAATGCAATTTAATGAACAATGCAATTTAACAAAATAGCATCTTTTGCTGGAGACTGGAATCACCAGCACCATTTCAACCAGTTTACAGGTGTCTTCGTTGCTGAATGCAAACACATCTTCACAGCTATGAGACCTTTGCTAGACTAAACACACAAGCAGCATATACCATGTGGTGACACTGAACGTGACTCTTAGTGTACACATTTCATATGGTGTGAATAATTACTCACTACCTTACGCAGGAGGATTTAGATCAGATTATTATTATATTTCACTTTGTGAATTTCATGTGACATCTTTAGTGTACGCTAAGGGGTTTGATAGAACATCCTTGAGGGTACTCCAGCAAAAAAACGAATAACCTAATTCAACTGGGGCATGGATATTACATTACAATCGCCTTTACCACTGATAGCCTTATATAAAAATAGATTTTATCGAGTGACACATTTACACAACTCCCTCTTTTCCAGCACAAACGTCCACTTGCATAGCGTACAGTAATCATATGCCAACATGTGGACACACCAGAAAGCATTAACAGCACACAGTGCATTCACAATTTTTTGTGCAACCAGTTTATCAGCGATCAATGCGTTTGTATGGGGTGCGAACACTGACCTCATTATGATGGGGGGGGTTGCCACTCGAAAAGGTCTCACTAGTCTAGAACATACAACACATGGATAGGGCACACCAGAAAAGCCACTCTGCGAGCCTACATACTGTTTCCCTAGGACTTATTGTCACAAATAGACAAAAGCATATTTGATGTACCTTCCTCACATCCGCATACATCCACAGTACACCTCTTAGCCACCCACTCCAATACGTATTGACATGTTCTTTTTCTTACTTGTCTCAGTGGGCAGCAGGTCGGGGATACTGGAAGAGCGGCGCTGCCCACACAGTAGATATTTATAAGACCACAAATCACAGAAACCACAGGAATGTACTTTTCCAAACCTCCTGCCACGCGGATCACACAGCAGCCGCACTGCACAGAAACCTCAATTGCACCACATTCTTCTTTTCTTATTGCTCCTATTATTCTCACCCTCGCCCTCTTTTCTCATTCAATTTCTCTTTTTTTTATGTCATTCAGTTTTTTTTCATGCTTTTCTGTCTTATTCTCTGGCTTTCACACCTCCACCTTTCTCTCTCTCTCTGTCACCGCTCTGTGTCCTGCGTGAGTCACAGGCGATTGGTTGACTGGCTCACAGGTTATTGAGATCAGTACAAGTGCTTTTAGAGCTCCAGTTTAATGCATTGAGTGATGTTTGTAGTGATGGAGAAGAATAAGAATAAAAGGTCACATTTGATTTGTACCATTTGTTCAGCCCTGCTTATAAGCACTTCAGCTGCTGCTCTCTGAAATACCCTGCATGATTCATTTGTCATCTGCAAAAAAAAGCGTTGACGAATATTGCCTTCAGACTAAGTCGTTTACTTGGTGCTTCATATGAGCTGTCACGTTTTAAAATTAAGCTTTTCTATGCTAGCGCCGCAAAAGGAAAATTCAATTCTAGGTAATTTCTTATTTATTTCACATACTGTACTTGTGATATAGTCTTCTGAGAAATGTACTTACAATTTGCCGGCTTCCAGTGCAATTGCAATTCAACCCGGGCAACATAGTGAACCTGTGAGCGCCATTTGCAGCTCATTATCACAGATATTTTCTTGCTGCCATGACACCTGCTTAGATCTGATTTACAAATGATCAGTAGTGTGAAACTGCGGTGCACTGTATTCTCATATAATGTGCCATTTTAACCTCCATTAACACTTTTGGATACTTGGGCCTATCAAAAATCTCAAATATCACTTATAAAATGATGTTGCAAACGTGCTAGCAGACATGCTTATTTACACATCTATTATCCATTATCATCAGTCGACTTTCTGGCCACCCAAAGAATGTACTTTTCTAATATTCGGTCTCTGTGTAACTCAGTTTGGGTCCATCAATTCTTGAGAAAATGATTTTGCTCTTTAGACCCCCTAATGCTGCTCCGTGTTCACGAGTGAGTGCCTGACTGTCCATCTTTCATTTGGGGCTCAGCTGGCGACGTTGCATGCAGTTTCTTTTTGCTGCTGGTAATGACCCTGTTGAGAGTAGTAAGAGTGAACGCTGTGGACCAAAAAACCAAAACAACAAGCTGAAACGAGCTCTTTCTTGGAGCTCAAAGACCGGTGATGATAGTACGGGGCCCATCACTAGGAGCAACTTCACATACACATAGTTATATGTCAATGTCATAAATCAAAAAATATTTATCACAGCCCATTTAACTAGAAAGAAATCCACTTTAACCTGGACGTAGAACATTCAAGTACTTGCATGTTCTTTGCTTTTAAGGTGAGGTAATCCTTTAAAACAACCTGCGAACAGCATACAGTTTGTATTAACCTGCTGATTTAATTATAAGTCAATTATGTTGAGTCTTTACGGCTCCACAATTTCCTATAATTGGGGAGGTAAGAAATGATGTCAACATAAGGAGGACTGATGTTGTCTGTTCAAGGCATTACACATGAACATTACAACATAATCAATGGTTTGCCCCCACTGCATGTAGTATGTGTTGCACGTTATTCTCAATTTAAACTTCTTTCAACTTCTAGGGATCACACCTTTCCTCTGTGTCGTGAAAAGTAAACAACTTTGAAATGTATCAGATGAACCATGAACTGACCGTGTAATGCATTAACGTAGAAATAGGGGAAATATGGTTCATATTGAACATACGTTAGCGGTTAAATGAAAACAAATCCAAATAGTTGCAGAGAAATGTAATGTTTGTATGACCCTCCACCTACACACAACCTCCTTCCCTGCTCCTTGTGTATGTCCTTGAGAGCAGTTCATATGCCTTGTGGGAAATGCAAGCCACATTTTGACTTACTAGCATCATAACTGAGGTTATTCCCATTTTCTTTATCAACAACTGTACCATAAAAGTATGTGCGTGCACTCTCATAAGCAATGTCAACAGTTGTTTCCACTCATACCTCAGTCTGTCACCAGCAAGGAAAGGTGGGAAATGACGTGTCAACACATTTGACAGTTAGTATAATTGAACACCACACGTCTCCGGAGAGAACAGGGGGTCTCGGGTGTATGTTTAGAAATATGTGGGTGACATTTTGACTTTAGTTGCTTATAATTAGACAAAACGATTAATTCTGGTGTGCTGATGCATGTCAGCGTGTGGGATGAAGGCTCTGCATTCTCAGCTGCTAATTATCACCTGAGAGAGGAGCTCTGATTGAGCTCATTTGGTCATGGGGAGGTTGAGACGAGGAAATATGATATTGTGCTTATTTTGGTTAACTGCTTCAGACTGAGACATTCAACAGATCATTGTGTACCTCTGTTTGTCTCACATAACAACACACATGTTGTTTTCTTTCCAGTAAGCAATACTTTCCCTATCCTTTCAGAGTCTCTCACACAGCCCTTCTTTCTCAGCCACATTTTCCTTTTCCCTCAGACTGGGGCTCTGGGCAGGAGGTTTAGAATAGTTCTCCCCCCTCATCCTCCTCGACTCTCCTTCCTCTCCACGGCTGCTCCACTGAGTTCCTGACATACCAGACAGAGCCTCAGATAGCCATTCCAGAGACTTAATCAAAGGAAAAAGGGGTTTGGAGAAGGGAGGTGGAGAGCAGGAAAACAGGGAGGAAATGAAATTGAAGTAAATACTGCAGTATTAGGAAAAAGGAAATGTACAAGGCCTTAACACTACTAATGTGTCGACTTATTTTGAACAACATTTAAACAGATAAAGAGAGCAGGAGAGTAGACAGCCAATTTAAAGCAGTAACGAAACATGCCTTTTTCACATTTAAAATCTATTTACTATAAATACTTGTCAAGGATTTTGCCTTTTACGGCCCGTCCACACAGCGGCGTGCGTTGAAAGCTTCACCATTCACTTGAATGGGGTGACGTCACTTTTCGCCGAACTGCATTGTGGGAAGCGAAGCGGAGCTTTGCTGGCGTGGCTCGCTGCAAAAGTTGAGAAATGTTCAACTTTTGAAGCTTCTGAAGCTTCGGTGGAAGCGTCAGCCAATCAAATCCCGTTTATGCAAATCTGCCAGTACAAGCGCTAGCCAATCAAACCGCGTGTATGCTGGGAGAGACACACCGCAGGTCATTTCCTCATATTCCAAAAAATGGAGCAAGCTTCAACGCACGCCGCTGTGTGGACGGGCCGTTAGGTTCCCATACTTGAGCGAGCACAAAGCATGAGACTTTATATCAAACATAAATTCTGTTTGATATTTCATCTTTTTTTATTTAAAACTCAAGCATATACACAACACTTGATTGGATGAGATGTGACATTCTGAAAAGATTTACGGCGTAATAAAACACCCTAACCCTAACCCCATAATCTATGATGTCAGAACAAAATACCCACCCTAAGTTATCCACATTAGTGGTCAATACTGCAACTGATTTGTTAACAAAAAATGTTTCTCTTCTCTCCTCCCATCTTTTCTTTATTCTTCTTTCTCTCTGCCTGGTTTGATCCTCTGTTCTTTTAGTGTGGCCGTCACTCGTTCCAAAGATGTGCCCTCATTCGGTCCTCCCATCCCAGAAGACGTGACCTTTCCCAAATCCTCCGTGTTCCGGGACTTCCTGCTGGCCAAGGTCATCAATGCAGAAAACGCCGCCCACAAGTCGCAGAAGTTCCGCGCCATGGCCACCCGAACGCGACAGGAGTACCTGCGCGACCTGGCCGAGCGCCACACCACCAGCACTCCCATCGACCCCTCCGGAAAGTTCCCCTTCATCTCGCTGGCGCACAAGAAAAAGGAGAAGAGCCGGCCGTATGGAGGAGCAGAGCTGCGCAGCCTGGGGGCCGTCACCTGGCTCGTCCAGGTGGAGGACCACGGGACGGGGGGGGAGCTGGAGGCCCTGCTGGCCGTCTCCAATGACTTCCTCATCCTGTTGGACCAGGGGGCCAAGGCTGTGGTGTTTAACTGCGCCGCTAAGGACGTGATCGGCTGGACGGCGAGCAGCCCTGCGTCTTTGAGGATATTCTACGAGCGCGGGGAAAGTGTGTCTCTGAGGAGTATCAGTAACAACACGGAGGATTTCAAAGAGGTCGTCAAACGTCTCGAGGTGAGACGTTAGCTTAGCATGCCGGCTTAGCATGCCAAGATATTGCGTTTTCTGCATGATAAATTAGTAGTTGTTTGAACAATTTTCAAGTCAATGATTGACATGTATTGGTGGTCCCGTCAATCAAAACTTTCTCAGTTCGTGCCAAGTTTACTTGACATGAGATTTAACATGATATAGTTTCAGTGCTGACATTTTTGGCCTCTGTTACCTGCTTATGGGTTGCTCCACTTTCAATTTCAAATTAACCAGACTCCATGTAGTTGAGACACTGAAGACACAAAAGAAAGGCTCTGACAAACATGCAGACTCGAGTTAGTGACTTTATTAAAAATAAGTTTTTGTTGGGTTTGCTGAAGCTGTCACTATATCCTGACGTGAGTGCATTAGAGAGTAAACTTTTACTGATAGACTACTGCATCGTGCATTTCTCTCCTAAAAAGTTTTCCGAAACTTATTTGAGTTTACTGTTAGGATATACAATTAGAAACCAAGCACTGTTCACCGGCTAGAGCAAACTTGCTAATTTAACAGTTTAACAGTACATTAAATATGCTTCTGAAAACATTTGAGGTGAAAAATAGACAATGCTTGAGTCATAAACATAAAACATAATCTTGACTCATGTTTTCGCACTGCCTAGTTTGACATCAGATAGACGGTTCGGCCACACGAGGCCGACATGGCCTGATGGGAGTTCAGGCGCAGTGATTGACACTGTGTTTGAGACTCCTCGGATCTGATTGGTTGTTTTCCTTGCATAGAAAATTGCATATGCTCAGAGTGGCACTGGGGTGAGGCAGAAAAACATATATGTCATCATATCACCATTGTCAGGAGGATTTGGTAAAAGTTTATTTAAAAATACTTTCATTCATGTGTGAAAACCAAATACTGAGGAAAACCAATTGAATGTGTAAGAGTGCCGTTGGCTGCCATTGATCACGTACCTAAACCTGTACGAACCGTCTATCTGATAGTGAACTGTAGCAGATACGACCGTTATCGTCCTTGTGTGGCCGGGGCCTCAGAAACACCTCTGGACATCATACTCCTAACGGCTCATCACACACCTACACACACACTGAAGTAGTGCTAGCTCTTCCTTATCTGTTTCCATGGAAACTGGTTAGAAAAAAAAGGTGTATTCTTATGCAATCATCAGTGCTTTAGAATACATTCATTTCCCCAGCCTCTTCCTATCTTCAAATTGTGTGTGTGTGTGATGTTTTTTTTTACAATGTTTACGTAACCTGGATGGAGTCCACCCTCTTTGATTCGCTCACAAGTATACAAACATAATTTAAAAACACACATAGTGTTAATTGGCTCAGGACTCAGAAATGTATAACTTTCATGTTGCATTTTCTGCATCTGGCGTTAATCTTCAATCGTTAGGACTACCTCGGTGCCAGGGAGAGAAAGGGAAGGCCTTGGGCCACTCGTCTCCCTCTCTCTCTCTTCTCCTCTCTTTGCTCTCTTTTCATACGCTGTTTGTTCTTTATCGTTCCCTTTTTTCTTGTACTCCTTCTCTCCCACGCACACATTCAGAAACATCAGAGAGCATCATAACAATTCCTATCAGCTGCCAGTCTTCAGCATGATTTATTCACGCACCCTTGTGAGTTTGACTTCAATAAAGCTTTTGCTAAGGCTGTGTAAAGAAAAAGAAAAAATGCAAGGAAGGTGCCCTGAAGTCGCCAGGAGACTCATTAGAGGGAGGAAGAGAGGGATAAGTGAGTTACCATAATTAAAATGAGTCTGGAATTATGATTGGCTTTGACAGATTCTTTGTCAGATGATGATTGACAAGCGATTTGGGCTCTTAGTCCCTAAATAATCATCTTAAGCTTTTCTACCTCACTCCCTGTCCCAGAAGGACAGCCACTTCACAGCAATCCCCGCCTGAATATCGCATCCCTTCATGAAACAACATGAAGTCCAAAAGGGTCTCCTAAAGTGTTTCAGCAAGAAAGAAGTGTGTGTGTGTGTGTGTGTGTGTGTGTGTGTGTGTGTGTGTGTGTGTGTGTGTGTGTGTGTGTGTGTGGTGTGTGTGTGTGTGTGTGTGGGTGTGTGTGTGGTGTGTGTGTGTGTGTGTGTGTGTGTGTGTGTGTGTGTGTGTGTGTGTGTGTGTGTGTGTGTGTGTGTGTGTGTGTGTGTGTGTGTGTGTGTGTGTGTGTGTGTGTGTGTGTGTGTGTGTGTGTGTGTGTGTGTGTGTGTGTTTTGTGTGTTGTGTGTGTGTGTGTGTGTGTTGTGTGTGTGTGTGTGTGTGTGAGCTGGAGCACTAATTACTCTTTATTTATGGCTATAAATCTCTAAGGGATCTCTTAAATTATTCAAAAAATCTCTTTTTCAACTTGTAGGTCGAAGCACATATGCACATTGTGTTTGGTAGCTTTATTGCTATCTACCCTATTAAGATCACTTTTCCTCCACCTGCCTCTTGACCTGTTTTGCTCTTTTTTCATCATCTCTCTTATCTAATATGTGTTAATTAATCTTTGATCTCTACCTTGTGCATCTTTCATGTGTCAAGTTCCTGACTAAAGGCTGTGAGACATCAGAGATGACGCTCCGTCGAAATGGCCTGGGGCAGCTCGGCTTCCACGTGAACTACGAGGGCATCGTGGCTGAGGTATCTATCCGCACATAACTCAGATGTTCCTCTGAAAATGAACTATAAAACAATCAAGTTAATTTGAGTGAAGCACATTTCTACCCTGAAGAGAGTGGATATGCTTAATTAGATTTACTCCACCTGTTGCTGGGATGTTCTGTCCTTTTTAATTGCTATTTTATTGGATTAATTCCTTGTTTTATCTTTAAAGAGTTGTATTGGTAATGAGTCATTTGTTGCAAAGTGCAGAGAGTCAAAGTGGCCTTGTTGCCACCTTGTTGCGTTCAAAATCAGTATAACAATAATCAGTATTGCAGGGTGTTACACCATGATATATAACAAGCAATTATGTGGAGACAGAAACATTATCATTGCACTTTATTACATTACCTTAAACTACATTTTCCCTTTCACTATCTTAAATATCACTGTTTGAATAATGAAGCTTCCCACCCCGACAGCTGTAATGCAATCAAACTTTGTTTTCAACAGGTGGAGCCGTATGGATACGCCTGGCAGGCAGGACTGAGGCAAGGAAGCCGATTGGTGGAAATCTGCAAAGTTGCCGTAGCAACGCTGACCCACGAGCAGATGATTGACGTCCTGCGGACCTCAGTGGCAGTGCGGGTTGTGATCATCCCGCCACATGATGACGCCACCCCACGCAGGTAGGACGGGACGCAAGCTGTTTGCTTTAATCAATCAGTCAACTTTATTTACATGGCACTTTTTATACTGAAAAGTTAACACAAAGTGAACAAACAAACAAACAATACAAAACTATACTCACTGCTCATCCGGTTTATAAACAGGGCAAAACATAACTTTGTGATTTTTAAAACACTCAACATCAACAGAAGTCAATAAACACAGCACTGAATAAAACAATCTTACAATAATTAAATGAGAATAAATACAATCCAAATAAGAGCTGGCTCCTAAAAATATAAATATATATTTAAGTACTTTTAATTACCATGTATTTCTTAATTAATTTCTCAGTTATCTGGAGTGCAGTTAACATGATTGCTCACCTTTTTATACATGAAGTTCAGTGGCACATTCATTTAAGGGACCAAGTGAAAAAACAGGGTACCCAGAAATTAAGAAATATATGTATATGCAAATATTCTTCTTTGCATTATTTTTGTCATTCAATGTTAGAAAAACCCACATCACTGTCTTCTCAAACGAAACGCCCCCCCCCCCTCTCTTTCCACAGGGGCTGTTCAGAGCTCTATCGGATGCCTGCGTCAGATTATAAGAGCAGCAGCAGCGGCGAAAGCGGCTCCTTCGAATACAAGTTCCCGTTCCGCAACAACAACAACAAGTGGCAGCGGACGTCCAGCAGCCCCCAGCAGTCCCTGACCGCCTCGCCGCAGCCGCACACCCCCAACCGGGCCATCAGCCTGGGCAGCTCCGGGGGGAAGACCCTGTCTGCAGAGAGGCTGGAGCGAGGGGCCGTCATCCCGCGCAGCGTCAGCAGTGACGGCCGGCCCCTCGACACCAAGAGGTCAGAGCCCCTTCCACGGCTAGATTCTGATTCATTTAATACAAATATTGATATGAGAAGGGGAAGAGGATTTACAACAGGGTTGTCCAAACTATGGCCCGGGGTCAATTTCTAATTGGCCCTCAGGGAAATTCTAAAAGTAAAATGGAATATGGCCCAAACTGGTGCTTGTCTTATATATAACATCTTAAATATATCTAAAATTATAAAACGGACAAGTCAAATCAAGCAATCTGATTGGTTCTTAGTCGTGATATAATGAGCGTATATCACGGGTAGAATTGTAGTTACTTTTCACAACAAGTCAGTATCCCTCCGCGTCTGAGAAAAGCTACAACCGTTACAACTGTTACATTACGTCCGTTATGAAACTAACTAACTAACAACGCTTAAGATGGAAACATGTAAGGGATAATGTGCAGCAAGGACTTATTGACCGTTGTTAAGGACGCTCACATCTGCAGAAAGAAGTCCGGTCGATTTAACTGTATACAGTTGGGCTGAAAAACAAACTGCATGCTTCGCGTCGGGCCAAACCACGCCCCTTAGCTGTGATATAATGACCATATACCACGGCCTGTCGTGAGCTATTGCTTAAATATATTTTATGTGTTACTAATACATTTTCAAATACATTAAAGTTGAGAAGATTTTCTATAAAATCTTAGATGATATTGAAAAAGCCGAATCACTTATTTGCAGAACAAGCTTGAAACACACCCTTCCCATTTCCACTTATTAGCAACAATCTGAGGCTTCTGTTTCAAGGAATGAGCTGCAAACAAAACCAATGGAACCCTACGGAGAGTTTAACTTAACTAATGACACGAACCTCACCTCTAGGGAGTGGCCCAGCCCTTTGTATATTATTCTGTATGTGGCCCTCAGTGAAAAAGGTTTGGACACCCCTGATTTACAATGTACAGTTCAGCTGGAAAATGTGGATTTTTATGCCAGAAGTCTCATCAGCTAAACCTTGGTTAAGTATTTGTGTGAGTTTCTTTTTAGTCATCATTTATTGTTAGTATTTTTAACATTCTAAAAGCTTATCGATTCAACTGTGTTGCTTTGCCTGAAGAGGTTTAACAGATCATCTATATCTTAAATATGACGATATAAGTAGGTATGGTTGTGAGATGTTATAAATAAACCATTTGTAGGCAAGTTATACAAACTAAAGTGTTACTGCTTTTATTTCTTCATTAAAATAACACATTTTGAACCTCTTGAAATGAAACATTCAAAGCAAATCCTGCAAGCTAGTGTATCAACAAAGCACACAAAAGCCAGCCGTCGGGTTGGAAGCTGATTTTTCAGCCGCCGGGTGTTAAGTATTCATGTCCTCCAGAATGCGTGGGAAGTAGCAATCAATGGAATTTCCTCTGAAGGAACAAATTGGAACATTTTGCTCCTTCAACGCTTTGCTGTGTTTATCCTCCATTTCCACATGCCTGTAGATTCTCACACTTCCTGTATGTGCACGTGTTTGTTCTCCTCCAGGATGTCTCCGGGCTGTGAGAGTTACAGCCTGGCCTCCGCCATGGCGCTGGGTCGCTCCCCTCACAACCGCAGCTCTCCCAGCAACCTGTCCTGCTCCAGCGACGCCTCGGGGAGCTCTGCTCACTGGAGGCAGAAGTCCATGCCTGAGCAGTAAGGAAGGGGGGGGGGGGGTTTCTGTGGCTGGGATTCAGTATTGTTTTATGCTAATTAAGATATATCGTTAAAAGCATATCTTTAGCCACTAATTCCCTTAGTATAACGCTGCCTTGAGGTACTTCCTGTTTTTTGAGGGAATGTATCTGTTAACTTCCATGATTGCGTGTTCATGAGCTGATGCAATAAAGTGTTACAAAGACATATACTCAGTTTTCAATTTGAGGCAAGGCAAGTTTACTTAGCACATTTCATCAACAAGGCAATTAAAGTGCTTTACAAAAGATATTTAAGAAATCTATAAGACAAAGTGCAAAAATAAACACATTATAAAATTACATTTACCGGTAAACAAATTCAAAACAGCCAAGATAGAACAAGCTAAACAAGCTCAAATAGGATAAGACTTATACGAAATACAAATATAAATGTAACAGTGCAGTATAATTGTTCCTTTAACCCTTATGTTGTGTTCGGGTCTCCCGTGACCCGTTTCAAGTTAAAATGATATAATAACTACGCTCTAGTTTTTTTTTATGGGAACAAGGCTTCATGATATCCTCCACATAAACTCTACAAAACTGATTTGGACCATTTTTGCCAAGTCTGAAGGTCTCTTAAAAAAAGAAAGTGTATAATTTGGTATTCGGGTCTGGGGAGACCCAGCAGAATTGTTGTGGGTCACTCGGGGTCAAATTTGGCCCAATCAAGATTCATCTTTGACTTCAGACACCCCTCCCCCACCCCCTTCATCCACTGTAACAATACTTTTTTGCAACATGCACCTGGTCTCCCCTCCCTCTGCCCCCCTCCCCCCACGGGAACTCCACCTTTCTCAAAGAATATGTACACTAACACTTGAACCTGAACACACACATGCACGTGTGCAATATGTGGTGTAGTGTGTTTGGGGCCATAACATGTAGTTAAAACAATATTGGATGATAGTCATTTTTTGTGTGTGTTTTGGACTGAAATAAATCATGGTTGACCCAATTTTGACAATTGACCCACGAACACCATGAACGCCGGTAACAGCTTTTGAACACAACACAAGGGTTAATAAAGCATAATATATTTCTAACAAAATACAATGAATTCACAGATTTTGTAACACTATTTTTACTAGAGTTTTAATTCATGACGCTGGTTTATTAATTTCCACAGTTGTAACATTGTATTACACACAACAGTGTAGGAGAGTGAGGTGATAGCGATGGTGTCTTTGTATATTTTAATGCCCTTTTTTCTTTTCTTCTTCCACCCACTACAGCCTTTGGTCAAATGTAATCTCTTTCATGATCTGTTAGCGTGTTATTCTTAGCTGGAAACACACATTTAGCTGATAAAACAGCAGAATAAAAGCTATATTTGTCTGCTTATTCAACAGGTTTGCAGGCAGCCGCCACTCTCCGATGTCCGGGGACAGACGAGATGTGGTTGGAGAGGGCGGGTCCAGTGGAAAGTCTACTCCTAATTGGTCGAGAATGGAGGAAGGGGGAGGAGCTGATCGAACGTCAACAGGTGATTATAATAGGGACGTGTGTGTGTGTGTGTGTGTGTGTGTGTGTGTGTGTGTGTGTGTGTGTGTGTGTGTGTGTGTGTGTGTGTGTGTGTGTGTGTGTGTGTGTGTGTGTGTGTGTGTGTGTGTGGTGTGTGTGTGTGTGTGTGTGTGTGTGTGTGTGTGTGTGTGTGTGTGTGTGTGTGTGTGTGTGTGTGTGTGTGTGTGTGTGTGTGTGTGTGTGTGTGTGTGTGTGTGTGTGTGTGTGATGAAGGCACTTGACTTTAGAATAGCGGGGGAGGGGAGGCACATCGCATCCATATTAGTAAATCCTTTGATGTGACAGGTAGCCAGAAAGGTGTGTGAATGGAGTTTGTGTGTGCCTCCTCGTCTGCCAGTGACAGTTTTGCGTGCCGACAGCATCCACAACCCCCTCTTCTTCCTCCTCCACCTCCTCTTCCTCCACCTCCTCTGCAGGCTGTGAATTATGTTGCCGTCACAGAGCGGGTCTTAATGTCTCTGCAAGGTGGGAAGATAATGATGCAGCGAAAAGAAATTATTGAATGGGGGAATTGAGATCAAGTAGTGATCTCATTAAAGTAAATGGCTTTCTCTTTGTCACTTGTCACTCCTTTCTATATTACTAACGTAGGAAGAGAAAGGGGGAGAAATTATTTTCTTTCCTGTGTCAACACAGTTGGCCAACCTTCTCTTTGTGTGCTTTTCCTCTCTTTTTCCTCCAGGCTGTTCCTCATTCACAAATGCCACTTATGTTAGCCTCTCATTCATCTTTCTATTCTCTTGTACGTTGGCTCTCATTTAGTATTCACGCATGAAATGTTTTCTGGGAGTTTTCTTCTTGTTTTCTCTGAAAGCCACAAGAAACACATTCTCTTCTGCCGCTCCTCTAAATCCCAGCCGGATGTTTCTCTGGTTGATTTTTGACCGGCCTAATTTCAGCCTTAACCTGTTTCTGACCGCCGAAATCCCAGAGAACAGCTTTAGTCTCTCATTTTGTGGTTGTTTGTAGCACTTATGTCTCTATTGGTCAGGGTGGAACAATGTAGGCTCGCCAACTGTCAAGCCCTATTCTGCTTTCTCTGTGGTTTGAGATGATGTCCTTTCCTCTTCCTCCCATTTACCCCCTTGACCCGTTAGTCCGGAGCAATGATGATGTGGCCGAGCGCCGTCCAGAAATAACCCAAGTCATGTAGAGGGCAGAATACTCACTTTTGATCTCCCAATTCCTGTCACATTCGAATGGGACATTACTTGACGCTAACTCACAATATGTCGTTTTCTGCCACTGGTGGTCTTTCAATCTAAATAATTACAAAAGATGTTTAATGAAATTGTGGAGTAGTGTGAGTTTGTCATTGCTGTCAAGTGTCAACCTATTAAAGTTAGGATTTCTTACGGAGGTTTTTTTTTACCAGGAGTAGAAACATTACCGGTGGTCTCCGGTTCTCCAAAACAACAGACCCGGTGATTAATTTCATTGACAAAAGAAAGTAAACGGAGACACAAATAAGTGTTTCTGCAGGAAAGCTCGGCCAAGATATAAAAACTGTATTGTAAGAATACTGCTTTTTGACAGACAACCTCAACGCTGGTGCAAGCACAGGGATTACGTCGCCATTAAAGGTGCAACTATTCACGATATGTCTATTCCTCTACTATTAAATAAACAATGTACTTCATTTTCTTTTATTAACCTGGCACGTTTATGATTCATTCATGCTTTGGATAGTGAGATGCAGAGATTTGCGACCTCTTAAAGGTGTTTTAGTTTAACAATGCTCACAGGAGTGCACACAACAATCCACCAAGGTGTTGGGAATGTATTTTATACTGTTGTCACATTATGCACATATGCACAGGCATGCACACATGCAACTGTCTCTAATTAGTGCAGAGCCCTTTGAGCTGCGATGAAGAGGAAGCCAAGCAAGGTTATGAATATTCTACGTGAAGGGTGGGGAGTCACTATATTTCTGGATTCACCCCAGCAGATGTTACGACACCCCCCTTAGCTCTAACTCTAATGGTGCTGTGGTCATTAGCTGCTTATTCTGTGTGTCTTTGTTGCATAACATGTACACAATTACATAACAGTACCATTTATAACCCCAGTTCTGCTTCAGGACACCTCGTCACATTACCCCACCGTCAACAGCCTGCCCAGAACAAACAGAGCCAGCCGTCTGTGGACAAATGCTCTGTTTGATGTGCGTTGCATTAGGTGACAAGTGATCTGGGTTTATTCTATGCACACGGTAGAGACACGATTAAAACAACAATCGTTATAAACCTCAAGGAAGCAAGAGTTCTGTCGTAGCAAAATACACTCAAGTGAGCACAGAGGAAAACATCTGTTTGTACCTCAGGGTTTGTTCATGTGTTTTTCACCAACATCAGTTTTTTTGGTCTATTTATTGCAGAGTCTCCAGTCTCCAAGTCGGGTCAGGGCTACTCTGGAGCTCCCCGCATCCAGAGGCAGGAGCAGGTCATCCACGTGTCCCCGAAGAAGGGCAGCCAGGTCAGGACACTTTTACTTACACCACCACTCTGATCGTACAGTACTGTTGGAAAAATATCACTCGTCACCGGCTTGGTTTTCAATATCAGGATACATGTATTTATTATCCTTGCAAGAATGGAAGTAGTCATCACACACAGGGCTGCGTGGGACAAATAGTTCCCAGAGTAGAGTCCTTGATATGCTTATATACAAGAGAGGGTGTTACAGTCAACAAGATGGAAGAATACTGGTTCAAAGCAGTATTCTGACATTAGTAAAGATTAGCTAAGACCTGCGTAAGCAATACACATGACAGTCATATGGCTATCTCTCTAGGGGCTGTGTCACCAATCTTAGGAACATAGCTATCATGACTTCAACACAGTGTCTCATGAGCGTCATCCATGTAGTCATACATCCGGCTACGTACACAGCTACGTAGGGCCTCTGTTATCACGTGCTACTCTGATATAGAAGGAACATTCAGTATTTTCCCAACAAGTACCCATCATCCTCTGGGGCTCAGATCACTTGTTTGTTTTTATTAAGGTTTTTCTGCATCGCTTCTGGCATATGGGAAAAATGTAATTGTTGTAGTTAGTCACATTGTAATCTTAAAGTCACCAAATAAAAAGAAAACAGATTTTTTCACACACATGGAATTCTCCCTCACTCATTTCCTTTCTGTTTGTTCTGGCAGTCGGACGGCCCTTACTCCGGGCACTCCAGCAGTAACACTCTGTCCAGCACCGCCTCCAGCGGGGGCCACAGCGACAGCGACAAATGGTACGAGATGGGAGCGGGTGGAGGAACCAGCACTGAGCCGGCAGGAGAGCCGGAGCCCAACGGCCTGGGGGGAGGAGGCTACCTGCAGGGGGCGTCGGCCGACAGCGGCATCGACACCAGCTCTTTTGGAGCCTCCCACCACACACACCCCCACTCCCATCACGGCAGCACCACCTCCCTGCTGGCCCCCAGCGGAGGGAGAGAGAGCAGGGAGAGCAGGGAGAGCAGGGAGAGCAGGGAGAGCAGGGAGAGCCGGGAGAGCAGGGAGAGCAGGGAGAGCCGGGAGAGCAGGGAGAGCAGGGAGAGCCGGGAGAGCAGGGAGAGCAGGGAGAGCAGGGAGAGATCAGTGTCTCCGTGGCACAGCCCCACCGAGGGGGGCCGCAGGATGCTGGAGAGGTCTCCGGCTGCAGCAGAGTCCCCGGGCCTTCCAGGAGAAAGGAGCCTGGAGGGGACCGGCCGGAGCCCCCCCACTCACCTCCTGGTGAGAGACAGCAGCACCTTCAGCCTGAACGAAGCCGGGTCACACTCCAGGTCAGTCTGTGGGTTTGAGACTTAAAGTATGGTTCACTACTTCTAGTGTTCAGTGGTTCTAATATATCCTATATGAAGTAACACATGTATCTTCCTTGAGACCAACTGCTCGGTTACATTACTTATACTTTACCTTTCACCTTGAAAATAACAGTATCTAGCTTGAGGCTGATGTAAACAGTATCAAAAGCTTTTGAATAAATAAATAAAATACTTAAAACTTAATACTAAAATATGATGAAAAACGTCAGAAATAAGCCTATTTCTTGTCAGACTGAATAACAGCCATCTGATCATTTCTTAATAATAGCAGAAAACATACTTTTGGGCAGTAACAAAAAAAACATGTGATTCATACAAAAAGGAGAATAGCACTTATTGTGCAGACCAAGGCTGTTTCCATGAGTGAACATTTTTTTGTGTATCTGCCATGTGATTCAGATCTGCTCCAAAATTGCCTTCTTCCTTGACCCCTGCCACCAAGTTGCCATCAAATTGGGTATTTGATATATTCTGTTGAACAAACAAACAGGCGTGCCGTGTTTTCCTGACCTCTGCTGAATGTTTCCAACTCTCATTACGCCAATATTTCTTGGCCCAAGAAGAACACACACTAAGTCTCTCCTGGAAACCAAGTGCGGGAGCAATTCTGTACTCCCTCTTATCTTTCCACATTAGGCCTCAGGAAATGTGAAACACGTGTCCAACATTTCACAGCTGAACTGGTGTCCACAGCCGAGAGAACTCCAGCGTCACGCGCTTCCTGTTTGAGCGAGTCTTAATTCACAGCTTCAGATGGAGTTACAGTTCACGACCCGTCATCTGTCCGGCATTTCAAACGCATTTGTATTCTGCTAAAGTGGCGGAGCAGGGATTAGGGGGATTAATGTACTTGTAGTACCAAAAGTAATAGTACTCATTATGCTAAACGGCCTATTTCAGAATAATATATATTACAATGGATTAATAATACTGATGCATTTATGTGTTACTTCTTGAATGTTACGGATGGTAAAGCTGCAATTTATGCTACTTTACATGCCTAATAATGATATGTTACTCAATTATGCATCATACTTTATGAGTGGTTAAATATTTGGTATTAAGCGTCTGTATCTAGTTACTAATGTTGTCAGACAAACATAATTGCTCAACTTTTTACTTTGATATCTTGTTTCAACAGTTACTTTATCACATTATCATTTTATTTTAAAAACATTTTGTATTATTCTTTTATTTTTTTACCTTGTGTGAATCCTGTTTTTAACTCTGACCCTGTTGCTGCTATTAACGCCTGAATTTCCCCCAGGGGATAAATAAAGTTCCATCTCATCTTATCTTATAATTCAGTTAAAAAAAAATAAAAAAAGTTTGCCCCCCTCTTAGCGTAGTCGAGTAGTTTTTTGAAATGGCATATAATGGAAATAATAAAGCACATGTATCTCAAAGTTGTATTGAGCTGCATTGAGTAACCCCCCCCCCCCCCTGTGTTCCCCTCCTTGGTCCATCAGTTCCAGGCACTCAGGCCACAGCTCCCCGAGAGACGAGTCGTCCTCTTCAACAACGTCTCCTTCGTCCCAGTCCTCCTCCTCCTCGTCCCCGGGGCCCAAGAGCTTCTACCCCCGCCAGGGAGCTCAGTCCAAGTACCTGATCGGCTGGAGGAAACCCGGATCCACCATCAACTCTGTCGACTTTGGAGACACACGCAAGTAAGGAGGAATTTAGACAATACAGTTGGTCTTTATTTATTGTTCGCAGTACGGCAGTGGGTTTAAACTGTACACACAGTTATATTACTTTTATGTTGCCACAAGTTTGGGCAACGTTTATAATAAATTGGTTCAGTAGGTGGCCCCTTAAAACATTCAATATTCCAAGCAAGCGGCTCCTAGTGGATTTGAAAAGGTTTACCTAGCATTATCTTCAGGGTGTGGGAAAATTAACACAAGGACAATATACTCCAATTAATTCAAAAACAATGCTGGATCCATATTGGCTTTTGTAAAGCTGATAATGTAGCATTCGTGTGATGGTGATGAAGCAGTGTTGTTGTGCTGCTCTTCATCACTGCATGTATATAGGAGGGATAGAATTGAACATTACTAGCTTTACTATGACAGTATTCAATATAGGGATGCGACATAACACTGCGTTGATCCCATTGCTTATCCACCCACATGACTTAATCCCTGTACTGCACTAAATATCTTCTGGAAGAAAATGCATACTGCTCTATTCCCCCCTTGTGGTTGAAGAGGATATTACATTAATGGCACGACCTGGATGCAAGTTGGTGGTGAAATGCTCTGCTGTTGAGGCTGAATGAACACATATCTCTATTATTTATCAGTGTTATCATTTGTGTGTTACCAAACAACAGTGCCGTTATGTAAATAAAATGCTAATTGGGGTTTGAATTCAGAATATTTGGAAGTTAGGATAATTTAGTTTGTTAAAGTTTACCTTGATGAAAGGGGGAAATATTTTTCATTTATAATTTTATGGCAGTGTTTTGGACAATTTATTTAGTCTTCTAAGGACATCTGAGGGAGGCGTGTGGCACAGGTTCAAACCCCACTGCAGTCAGCATGTCGTTGTGTCCCTGGGCAAGACACTTCACCCCAAATTGCTCCTGTGGGGATTGTCCACAGTATTGAGTATGTAAGTCACTTTGGGTAAAGCGTCTAACAAGTGACATGTAATGTAATGTAATCTGAGTCACTTTTTTGAAAGTGCAAAACAAGGGTTAATCTGTGCGGCCTTGTCTGTCTGTGTGTGTATTAGGAAGTCTCCAGGAGAGGGGGGGGTGGAGGTTGTTCCCGTCCCAGCAGCCAGGCCCTCTCTTCGGGATATGCATTCGCCCCAGCCTCACGCCAAATCCACTATGGAGGAAGACATAAAGAGACACAATTCCCCCGACAGCCCTCCACCACCACGCAGACATAAGGAAAAGGTACGCCTGCAGAAATATGCATCCCAAAATCTTTTTACAAGAACAACTGGTTGATGGACACATATAACCAAATCCTAAAATAACAAAACTGTTGCTAATCAGGTTTCTTCACCTTTTATATTTCAGTGAATCTTTAAAATGAGTAAAGTTGATTAATTTGGACAAGGTAAATGAAGTCGTCTCCTGACACAATACCACTTAATGTGTGTCTCTTTTAAATATTTGCGAAAGGACAGGTTCACTTAGAAAGTTACCCCACATTCGTCAATCCGTCTTACATACCATACATGTTAGGTTTAGTTTGCACATATCAAAGTAAAAATTAGACAACACGTTTTTTTACTTACTAAACTCACAAAGAAATAGCTTAAAAATAACCTGGACTATGTTTTCTAATAGGTATTTCTGCGGTTGTTTTCTTTCGGGGTTCATCCACATATTGCATTTGGTTGGATCCTATTTTAGTAATAATACAATAACATTCCCCATCACCTCCCCACCCTGTGCAGCACGGGCAGAAACCCCAGCAGATCCCGCCTCTGAACCGCCATCGCCCCTGCATCGAACCCTCTCAGACGAGAGCATCTATCGGGGCCAGCGCCTCCCCCCCCTCTTAGACTCCATGCCCGAACCGGCGCTCGGTGCAGACCTCCTCTTCAGCTGCTCCACCCTCCCACGCTCACCCACCACCCGCGGGGTTCCCCTGCGACGGCCCCTCCTATAAACTGGGCGTCAAACTCCACGGTAAGTGTGTAGGTTTCTAGAAGAGTGGAAGTAGGTATAGCAGCTGGAGTTTAGTTTATTTGTTGATAGTGTCGTGGACAGTCCCCATTGATCAACTGTCACACAAAACAGTAAATGGGGAAGCTTTAGCAAACATTGCTAATTTCCAGCTGTTGTCCCCGGCCAGATGATAATGGGCACCCTTAAAATCACAATATATCCATCACAGTTACAGCTGTAGCGTGTAGTTGACCAAATTAGTGATAAGTGGTAAGACTATTGACAAATTACCAGCTATTTAAAATAATCATCATGTAATTTTTCTAACAAAAATGCCCCAAAAAATTACTAGAATTCTGGGATTTCTTTTTTTTTCTCTGTTATATATCATTAAAAAATAGCTATTTGGGATTTGAGACTGACACAACATCAGATCTAAAGTAATTAACATGGATTTTAGAAACTGGGAAATGTTTTACTATTGACTGACACACACACACACACACTTTTTGTCTAACACGCTAACACAGTTCAGTGTGCTGTTATGTTCAGTCATCGTTCTTATGTTGAACATGAATACATTTACTTAATGTAAGTAATTATGGGACGTATTTCTTCTTTCACAGCAATTTTCCTTCATACTTTCTTGCCGTGAAATAGGTCTTAAATTCTATTCAAAGTGGTCTTAAAAAGTCTTACATTTGAGTTGGTGAAACCTGCAGGAACCCTGATTATGTACACCAAATGATTAATCTGTGAATTAAGGAAATACGCAGCAGATTGATTGATAAAGAAAATAATCATTAGTTGCAGCATTATTAACTTTCAACAGCTGTTTTTATGTTTTTATTTTTATATCATTGTTTAAAAGACTGTATTGTGTGGCCATTGTATCCATGTTGTGACAACAGTGCAACCCAAGGAGGTTAATTAATGCACAATAAGTCGTGTCAAAATAAATATAGTAAATATTTTTGGCTTAAGTTCTGGATGTGTACCTTCTGCCTGCCCCCCTTTGAGTAAAAAAAACATAATGGCAAAATAAGTTCTTTAACATTCAGCTCTTTCATCCACTCCTCTCTGCTTATAGGTGACCTTTCAGCATCTGACACATCATTGGTGGATCTGGTGGAGCGTCACCGCGGCCCCCTCCCTCAGGAGCTGATGCCCCTCCCCTCTCAGGGCCAGGAAAGGGAAAGCCCTCTGGAGTGGACTCACCTGGTGGACGTGGCCAGTACGTTTGACACTGAAAGAAACCCACACTACGGTATTAACAAATTCTATTAAATGCACACATTGTCTTTATTAAAGTATATAAACCAGCCTAACAGAGAGTCAATCAAGAGGGAGAGTGATTAGATAGTCCTGATTGTGGGATATCAATGTATGTGTTTTATATATAACGCATAGACATTCATTATTATTTCAATTTGTTAAGCATTTGCCTTCGCCTGCTACTTATTTTTTGTATAAATAACTATGTCTTGGTTTCACCTTTTGTTTATTCCTCTCTTCTCCAGTCCAGAGAAGTTATGTGTTTGGAGATTCAAACCACCGGAGCAGCGGGGCCTCGAGCCCCCAGCAGTCCCACATCGAGCTGCAGCCGGCCCCTCTGTCCCGGCCCTCGTCCAGGTAACACCACACACACACACAGGAAATATTCAGGGTACACATGTGACCTCAAGACTGCAGCTTGTTCACTTTGCAGCCAAATAAGACTCAAATTAAAAACGATTTGCCTTCTCTTTTTAAATAAAATACAGTACATAGATCACTACTTAATCTTATCATAGTAAACCACTGCAAAAATCACTGTATTCATTCATTTGATCGTGTTTTTAAGCTATAGGCAAGGCAAGTTTATTTATATAGCACCTTTCAACACAAGGCAATTCAAAGTGCTTTACAAAAAATGAAAGACATTAAGAAAATGGCATATACATATACATTCACGTCCTTTTGGGTCTTAATTAATTGAATGCAAATTGCTGTTAACTGTCATGGCACGCAGTGAGTACCAGTACAAGGAAATGCATTTAAAAACTAGAAAAGTGCACAAGAAATAAGTAGATTCACAAAGGAGAGAGTGTGAGTATGAACGATGCCTCTCTGTGTCTCTCTCATCCCCAGCGAGGGTCACATAGGGCTGGAGAGGAAGGTGACCAAGCTGGAGGCCACGGTGAAGATGCTGCAGGAGGACCTGAAGAAGGTGAGGGGGTGAGGGGGAACACACACACATATGCACTTACTGCACGAATACATATTTATAGATTTGTCTTTTTTGGCAGTTCATGGAGATATGTTATCTGCATGTGTACAACCTTCACTCTGTGCTAAAAGAGAATTGTCTAGGAATGAAGAATGAAAGTCCATGCTTTATTTGCATCCAGCGGAACAGGGAACAGCAGGGGGTGTAAATAGATATTTGGTCTTGCCACTGTTTATTTGTTTCTGCTCTACAGCTCATTGGTGCTACCTTTCACTCGACTCACTAGAATGAGTGACATTTTACTCTTGTATTTTTGATCAGAATCGTTAAAGCTAAGCAAATGGTCTCCCATCCTCTCATGCTGTCTTTCCATCACTGTGTCCAGAGTGTTAAAAAGCGACCTGTTGTTTGTTTTCAATTTGTGTTTTTTGATGCGTTTCACCTCCCTATGATAATATAGACTAACTCTCCAGTGTCAAACAATTCTTGCTTATTTTTGACGCCTCATTTATGCTATAAAAATCTTGTTTTACTTTTCAAAAGACGACCCCAGAGCAGATATTTACACAGCATTTTAATATCAAAAGCAGCCGCAGTGAACACTTTTTAAGTTCCTCCAGTTTTTAGCTAAAGGAGTGAAAACTGAAGGTCACGTTCTTTTTTTTAAGGTTTGATGTTTTTCATCTGCTAGTTGCAGACTTTGTCGCCTCTTAACTACTTCGACCTCTAAACAGTGAAGACTTTTCCCTCTCAAAAACACTGCAGTCTGGTTGTGATTTATTTCTTACGCAATTCTTAGTAAATTCTCTGCTGTCTTTGAAATACTGGGAGGCATTAACCCGTCTGCATTTTTCACGTTGTAAGCGGTAGATCAGTTCGACACCAGGAAATTCAAGTCAAGTCAGATTTTATTTACTATTATCACAAATCACCATTTAGCCTCAGGGGGTTTTACAGCGTACAGCACCCTCTGTCCTTTTCAACCATCCCCTCAGAAAAGGCTCCACAAACAAACCGCTTCTACTGGGAAACTAGTATGCTACACTTCATTCAACCACCCCGAAGCCAGAAGCACAACTCAGAGGGTTTCATTGTTTTCTTTAACTGGATATAAATGTATGTTCTGTTCTGTGTATTCAAAATGTCAAGTGATAAAATCTGAAAACTTGTTGCTGTGCGACTCATTGCCGGCAGACCTGAGACGTTTTATGTAAACACTAAACTTAAAGTGTTCATTATATTTAAACAGAGTAGGGAGATGATGTTAAATATTGAGTGTTCAGTGATTTTATTTGTAAGACACTCCTTTCAGTCACGGCAATATTGTTTTCTTCTAAATAGAATAGAATATATATTTTATTGTCATCATACAAAGTACAACAAAATGTCTTTGGCAACTCTCACTGCAGTAAAAAATAGACACAAATAAAGAAATAAGAGTGGTAAAAGCAGAGGTAGTAGCGATGACAGTGCAACGAGATAAAATTCAATGTGCATATTTACACTTACAGTCTAAAAACGTTAAATGTACAAAACTGTATAACTAACTGTGTGTTCATAAAGCGTTATATAGTAACCAAAGGATGCAAGTAAAATAGCCATAAATATCTCTAAATAGTAGTGGTTGCACTGCTTAAAAACTGCTTCAATTGTATAAATGTCCCCCATCCTCCCTCCTCAGGAGCGTGAGGAGAAGCTGAGGCTGCAGGGGCAGGTCAAGAGGCTGTGGGAGGACAACCAGAGGCTGCAGGAGGAGTCGCAGACATCCGCCACCAAGCTGAAGAAGTTCACAGAGTGGGTCTTCAACACCATCGACATGAACTGACCCCCCTCCTCCCCCCCTCCCCCTGCACACTTTGACTCTTGCACGCACGCACACAAATGCACACATCAACACTGGCCAGAGACCAGAGGGGAAGAACCTGGACGTGATTTATGCGCCCATCTTTCTTTGGCTTCATACATCAACAGCTGATATTTGGTGACCGGCCTCCCTCTCCACACTTCTCAGGATGAGAATAAGTAAATATGAAGGACTGTCCTCTACTCTCCAATGGGACCAGAGACTATGCTGTGCCAAAATCATTTTATAAAATAGCGACAAAGAGGAAGCTCTCCTCCTCCCTTCTCCTTCAGAAGAGGTCAGCCTTACCTCCTCCTGATGTGGACCCCCCCCTGAAATGCTTTCTCACTTCGATGTGTTTCTCTTTTTAGGGACCGTACCTAGCTGCAGTAGAAATCTGGCTTTTTCATCTTTGTTCCTCTGAGGTGAGGAGAGTGTTTGTGCCACAGCAGAGGGTAGCAGAGAGATCCATGTGACTTAAGAGAAGACGTCTCTGAAATGCCACTCGGAGTCCGACAGGTACTACGCGACAAATCTGCCAGCTGGAGTTTGCTGTAACACAAACACCTATAATGAATCCGAAGCCTCAAGACCTCTGACTGGACGAAGGAGAGCTTTTTGTTGTCTTCACATGTAAAGAAGTTTCATTTCCTAAAGTTTCTGACCACTGAAGGGTGATGGTGGAAGTTCAGCCACCGACGTGGAAGCAGGTCGCCTCTGATCGCGAGGGAAACATGGATTTGTACAGCATTTTTCCTCCTCTTCGTCCCTCAGATCTGGATTACTGCATCCTGTCTGTCAGCACAATCCCACACCTGACGGAGGAGTGTATTTATAAGCCATCGGCAAGTGGTGCCATCAAACATGACTGAAATCCAGAGTGCTTTGGTCCATCCAAATTGTATGTGTCTTAAAAGCAATAGGAAGACTCCTGTCTCTCTCATAAAAGAATAAGGGAGACCTGTGATGTGGGAGGAGAAATTTTAAAGGTTACACTTAAAAGACTCTGCTGCACAAGAGCCTCCATCTTCTTCTGTTAAAGCAGAAGACATCATGCTTTAGGAAAAAGGACGGAGAGGACTCTGCGCAGCGTCCCATCTGGAATACACAGAGCCAGTAATGACAGAGACATTTTTTGGGAGGGAAAAGTAAGAGTGGACTTTTTCCCCCTATGTTAATTTATTTCATTGTATTATAATTCAAATAAACAAGTTGTTCTATTCGTCAAAGTACAACTGACATCAGTGTTTAGTTCCTCAAGAAAAACGGTCACTAGCTATATTATTTAAATGGCTTTCTTTCTCAATTCTGATTATATGCTTTTTATTCTGTATTATGTTGTGTTTTGTGGTGCCCAAGCCTGCTGTCGTGTTGCTTACAGTGCCCTCTAGTGATGACCAGTGGAAATGTCATGATTATTAAATGTGCCGCCAGTCACTCTGTATTTTCCCCACGCCTCTCCAACAATCAGTCAGATATCGGGAGGCCACACACACACACAAGCAGAACAGGAAACAAACGCCAGCTTTGACAGACAATCAAAGGTGGATTTTAGATAAAAGGAAGCAAACCTTAGGTGTGTGTATGTAGGTGTGTTTTACATTTTAACATCTATAGTTTTCCTCAGGTTCAGTATTTGTAGGAATAGTAATTTAACAAAAAGTATTTCTATGGTGAGATTATAAAGCCCCATGATGAGCCAGTGGCAGTGTGTGTTGTCAGTGTGTGAATGTACATCAGCCATGCCTACACTCACTTATTTAGGCCATTTTCTCAGAGTAGGGACGTGCCTTTGAAACAGCACCTGGGGAACAGATGAAAGGGAAAGGCTCGTCTTTTTCATCCCGAAAAATAAACACATTTGAGTTTTAATCGGCTTCATACTCACAGTTGTAGACCTCATAAATGTCTGTGGTGCGAGGCTTCTCTTCGTATGAATATTTGCACCGAACACAATCAGGCGCGTCAGCCTCCAGACGCAGGGACGAATGTGTGTGTGTGAAGTGTATGGAAATGTGACGGTGTGTGTGTGCCTTTGCATTCAGCTACATGCAGTATATCTTTCAGGGCAGCTGGCCCCTGTAATAACAGTGTGTTGATAGAAATGTTCCCCCTAAATCACAAAGCCACTTACACCCCGAGGAGACAGCGCGTTTCCTCAGCCAGGTGCATGCTGGGGTTACTTCAGGTCGTCTATGTTGGAAATGCGGATCACAAACGTGGTGTTAAAGCCTTAACTCCTTCCCTGTCCTGTGCTATCAAACGTTTGATAAAAAGCTCCCAATTTTTGAATCTCTTAAAAGTAAATTTGTGTCTTAAATCGATGTAATTAAACCCAGAACGCCACCCGGTCTGAATGTAAAGAGAATATAAACGAGCCTAAAGAAATGTGATGTTTACTATAACTGACATTCAGCTTTGTAGTTTAGCAGTGTCATGTCATAACAAAAAAGACGGTTCTGTTTTAAGAATCTCATATAAATCTGTGGATTATAAAAAAACATCCCAATAGTTTTGCTTGGTGATATTATATAGTTGTTTTAACAGTTTAAGAAGTCGGCCAGTTGTGAAAAGCAGTCTAGTAGTCATCCAATAATGTGAAATCCTTACACACAATATAACGAGATATATAGGTGGAAGTTTTGAATTGCTCAGAGCTACAGTTTGCTTAAATGATGACTAATGTTTGGTATTTTATTGTACATGGAAAGTGCTCTAGTTTTTGTATCTCAAATGAAGTATGGCCACATGACGAACTGTGCAGTAGATGTTTTGCTCGCATCTTTAAAAGTGTGCATCGAGTGGGATGTTATACATTTGTCCACCTTATACAAAGACATAAACAAACCAGTGACTCCAGCGAAAGATGTTATTTCACAGTGCATATTTTGTTCCGTTCGCTTTGTTTTTGGTGCTTTTCAGAGGGAAATGTGAATGTTCAAATGTTCCATTTTGTAATTTGTTTTTAAGAATCTTTGCACAATGTTTTATAAAAAGGGTTGTGTTGAGAAAGGTGAATCGATCCATTCCTGTGCCGTCGTGTCTTGGTGTTGCTCCGTAGTTTTCCTGCCAGCTGACAAGAGGAAGGTGCTTGACTTTATTCAACACGTGTACCCTCCTCTTCCTCAAGCTTCACTGATCAGAGCCGCCTGAGGTTGTTTTCTCTGTAGGGATGCTGATTTCCAGCCTGAGAGCTTGGTGATTGCTGGAAGGTTTCACGAAGCTGATCCGTTGGAAGAACAAACTAACCCGTGAAGTGGTTGGCTCTGACCGGAGGTTAACAACCTTCAAGAGGACCAAGCGTTTGATAGAATAGAAATACTGTTTACATCCTGGGTCCATTGTCTTTGTAAAATGTAAAGGTATGAAAAAGACATTTGCAGTGATCACAGTATTAAAGTTTCTGAAATAAATAAATGCCGTATCAATTTGTGGAGTTTTTGACTTCTGTGAGTTTCTGATCTGTAGGCTACATATGTTAATGATCTTGAGCTACAAGGATACAAACTAAAATACTTCTTATAAATTAGAAAGCTATATAAAGCACACATCTTAAAGGCTTATTTTAGCTACTTCTGGCAGTTTTGCCATACCATTGAGTCCAATGGGATAGTGATAGATATGCTGGAGAGAAGCACACCATCATGTATTGAAAATGGTTATATCAAATATTAAAGATAATATGTTTTATGGTATATGTGATATGACAGTATATTAAACACATGTTTTTCCTTCTAATGAATCCACTATTGAGAACTGAATTCAATTGCCATAACGCCAGAAAACTACACACCTCATTTGCAAATCATTTAAAAAATTTAAAAAAAATCATTTCAAAAATTAACAGCTGTTTTTTTTTTTCTTCTGATCTTCAATTATTGCTCATGTGTCCAGCCTTGCGTGGTGAACAGACAACAATATAATTTGTCATGATGTTTTTTCTCATACAGTGACTACAGCTTCTCGTCAGAGTGGGTTTACTTGATTTTTCGTGCAGAGCGTTGTCTGACAGTATTGAGCGGTGAGTAACCGCAGAGTGAGCAGGTCTGGGATCAGGACTGTTCGCTTCAGGCTCCCATTGTTCCTGATCTCTCTGACTCACCTGATTGCACTTTAACTCACAGCCGGAGACACAAACTCCTCTCTATCCTGTGTGTTGTTCTACAACCAATGAGCAGTATCTGGTCACTTCTGGCACACAGAAAGAGAGGATTGAAAAGGAAGATAGGAACATATATAGTATTATTTTATTCTAGAGTTCACATGAACTTATTGAAAAGCTCAGCCTGAATGACTCTCGTGCAACACTGCATCACTGTTTTACAGGATATTACCAGGCTCCAAATGTTCTAGAAGTGCAGTGGATTACAGCTAGAGCTCACATGTCCATCCATCTATCTGAGTAAACTCAATTTAGTGCGATACAGTTATAAAAGACTACTGAATGTACCTTGATTTTTGTTATATTTGTCCAATACTATTTCCACAACCAATAATGACCTTGGATGCTTACTTTTTGTGTTTACACATGAACAGAAAGTATAGAAATAATCCCCATGACAAAAACATCCTTGCTCCTTTATTATCAAGACAAAAAAGATATTGGTATTTATGCTAATACCAAACAACGACAATAAGTTAATCGTCTCTTTTGTTGGCAGGGAATTCAACAATGGAGGATTTAACCAGCCAGAGGATTAGTGTGTATAGTCTGCCATAATCACATAGTAACTCATTAATACCAACACATTGATAACATAGTTATACATAGTTAGTTGCCTAGATTCCCCCTGAAGTAAATATTTTCCAAATATCACTTCAAATAAGGCTTTACAATGCAACTGTTGAAGAATAAATGTCTGCCTAATTTGGGGGGAAAGGCGAAGTACAGCTGAGAGAAATCTGATGGGACGTGTTTGTTTGTGACCTGGTTCGCCCTGTGCTGCTCCCTGTCCTCCTGCAGCGATGTTCAGGCTGTTTGAGGCAGTGACTGCAGTCTGGGTGCAGAGGAGGAGGGCTTCACTGCAGAGGAGGCTGCAGATTAGTCATCTCTGCTACAGGTGGAAAATGTGTGGGCTGAATCACCTGGGGTTCCTTTCAAGGCTTGGCTACGGAGAGAAGTGTGTGATGCCTGAATTAAAGCCTGATCAGAGAGAGCTGGAGCCTGCTAGGTCTTTTTTAGCCTTTAAAGAGTTTATTTGCAAAGAGCTAAATGTGTTCTTTTGGGTTTGAACATGTTGAAGTTGTCTGTGTTTACATGTTAGGGCAATCCTGTGCTGATAGCCAGCCGAAAGCATCACAGCAGGATTGGACGAATACAAATCTTTCACAGGTGTGAACTGTTTAGATTTGACTTTTTATTTAGCTGCTACTGTATGCAACAGATCTTTGCATAGTAACAAATGAAAGTTGAGAATCAATACAGTAGCGCAACAGTAATATTGTGAGACTCAAGTGTGTAGTGTGTAGCCAATCTTAGAACATGTCCAAATGGCAAGTCAATATCAAATGATTTAATAAAAATATTTCTGTCAATCGTTCAAAAGTCTCTTTCCTGATTTAAGTTACTCCAATTTGAAACAACGTATATAATGTACATGTAAATAATTCAACAGATAACATGGTGTAGAGTCATTACACTGTAAGTAGAATTAGCAATGTAAGACTTTTTGTTGCCATGATCAGTGATGGAAACAACAATCTGACCTGGAAAAGCTACAATAAATGAACCGAAAACATCACAAACCATTTGAAAAGAAATGCTGAAAAAGATCTGTCACTATCACTGTAAACCTTTGCAGATTACACTTTGATAGTGCACACAACATATTGACTTTTGGTTGTCAACTTTTATTCTAAGATGGCTTCATCTCCATTTAGACTGCTGCCAGGTGACTGGACAAAAACAAAACCTCTGTGTTTACCGGCAGCGTGTGGTCATCCCTTTTCTTTCCCTTGTGTGTGTTGTGTGTGTGGACCCTCGAAGCTTTTATCCCACGCTCTCCAGCAGCCCACACACAGCTTCATGTCTCTGCTCTGCTCTTATCAGGCACTCAAGGAAAGAGTCAGAGAAAAGTCGAGGTGTTTTGTTCTTCGGAAGGCACGGCTTTGAGGTTTGCTGTCATTCCAGATGCTAACAGTCCCTTCATCTGTCCATTTCACACTGTCTGCATGCATCACTGTCTCTGATGGCTGTGTGTATTCAGCAGACTCTCCTAATGACACACACTTTGTCATCTCCACTAATCACTAGTCACTTTTTATAAGAGGAGAAGCATTGTGAAAAGCTCTGACTTGTCTATTAACAAGGACTTTGAATGCCTCTTGAAAAAAGGGATTGATACACTTGATACAAGAATCATTTAAAATGCTTTCTGTAGGTTTAATCTGATAAAATTGCTACAGAATTGTATTATTTTGGTAATAAAGTGAAATGAAGTGCAGGATAAAGCCATCAAAAACACCTGTTTGACCCCCTTTCTTTTGCTGGATAGAGTTCACTCTTCTGACATATACACTCTTTACGTTTTCATCCTAATTCTGCACTATCCTTCAGATGTAGGTCATGAGCCGCTGAGATGAGTTTTCTATATGCAGGATGTCTAACAGAGCTCCTTTTTGCGTTGAAAGGCTCCAGTTAAAATGGTTTGTGTGCTGCAGGACGCCTGTGGAGGCACATCCAACTGGAAGGATTTCCTCGGGGCAGACCCAGAACACACAGGGATTACACATCCCATCTGGCCTGGAAACCCCTCAGGATCGCCCAGCAGGAGGTAGAGGAAGGAGCCAGGGAGAAGAAGGGCATCTGGGCTACTTTGCTTTCTCTGTAACTGCACCACCACCCAGTAGTAGCAGAAAATGGACGGATGAATTCCGAATATTTGTTTTATCTTCAAGCAAATGTTCTCAGGCTCACCAAGGGGCTTGGTAGGAGTCATGTTATTCTTTAAAGCCACACATTTATTGGTGTAAATGTTGTGATAGTGACTTGGCCCATATCATTTTATGAGTAGCTTTCTTAAGGACATTTGTATTTGTGTGAGTCCATGTCCTGAGAAGAGTAAGTGGGGCAACTCCCTTCCAAACACACACACACACACACGCACACACACACACACACACACACACACACACAACACACACACACACACACGCACACACACACACACACACACACACACACACACACACACACACACACACACACACGCACACACACACACACACACACACACACACACACACACACACACACACACACACACACACACAGACTTCCCAGTGGGATCTTCTCTTCCTGTTTACTGTTACTCAATAATTCAGTTGGTCCAGAGTGGAGACTGTAGTAGACATGTTGTGCATGTGCATACTTGCGTGTGTGTGTGTGTGTGTGTGTGTGGTATGTGTGTTAATGGCAATATGTCAGGCCAGAGTGCTCCATTAGTATCAAAGTTGTTTTTGACGACAGTTAGCTGGTAAGTGCATGTATTGATTTGTGAGCATATCGGCGTCCATTTTTCCATTTTGCACATTAAACGTCAGATGACAGTGAGAGAGGCAACTGGCTTTTGAAGCTTTTGAAGCACCCTGTTATTTTTACTTGAATTAGGGCAGCTAATATTTTTTGTCTCCCCAGTCAGCAGCAGTGAAAATAAACTGCCCAAACCTCTGTCAACAAGCTGTGAGTTGACATGCTGAATGTGATCTGTGGTTGAATCCCCTCACTGTGCAGTGTAGAGAGAGGAGTATAATCCCTTCTAACTACAGTAAGTACCCAGTTTCATCCCTCAGTACATCATTGCATCAGATACTTTGATGTGCTTCAGCGCGCGACCAAACGTTTCCATCAGCTCAGAGTTGATCTGCCGCCTCGGAGATGTTCAACATGAGAAATAAGGAGAGTTTATACTGAGCTAAGAACAGAGAAAGAGGTGAATGTGGGGAAAAGTGAAAGACAAATATTAGTTGGTTTTGTCGCATAAGGAGAAGAGTCTAATGTTTGACCATTCAGTGGATATTACAAAGTTTCTGAGTGCATTTGTTCCACAGTTTCAAAGTGATTTTCTCTATTCATTTTAAATATGTAAGTGTTCATTCCTGTGCATTGTCCCTGCCAAATAAACGATTAAATCAAATCAAATAAAAGCCATTTAGAAGCTGGTGAAGGTTGATTTTTCTCTCTCGTTATCTCAGGATACATAATTAAGCATCTCAGGTTACCTGGTTGTTGTTATCTCAACTCTGGAATCTTAATTTTTCTCTTACTGAATAACAAACTCATTATCTTTAGAAAATGACTTTGCCATCCAGAGATAATGAACTCCTTTCATCATGCAACCTCTACTAAAGGTACTGACTGAAACAATGCTTTAACGTTTGTGCTAAGAAACTGTGCGAGTTCACCTCGATCTTCATTCTCCAACAAACC